TGGTGATGGTGATGGCATAGCATACATGCAACATGCATGATCTGACTTTCCTTAGTATAATATACCCAATCCCAAATACTATCACAGATAAATTGACATCAAGTGTACTACTATGCCTTAAGAGTAATATGCAGCAAAGCAAAGTATGTCTCATTCAGTCATTTTCTATACTTCCAGAGTATGTACGCATGCAAAGAATCCCATATACCCAGAAAATGAAAACCCTAACTCATTCAAGCAACCATATCCCCCTCAGTCATTGAACAAATGAAAGAAACACTTCGTCTGACCCAGTCAAGACCGACCAACCAACTAGATAGTCCTACCTACCCTCCCCTCACACACACTATTCGCCTCCATCCCCATCGTAGCCTCCCTCACAGCATCAACGTTCTCCCTCGCCATGTTTCTTCGCATCTCACCACTCTCCAGATTCCCAAACGGGATGCCCAGCTCCTCTAACGCCCTTTCCACAATGTAGTACGGATCACTGTATCCGGGCGTGAGGAAGCGCTCTAGAGGGATTGGGTTTGAGCTAAGGTTCTCCTGGCGGCTGTGTGCTTGTGTACTGAGGATATCTTCCAGCAACTTGAATCTGGAGAAGATAGGGTCGTGAGGTGGAAGAGATGAGAGAACGTTTGTGATGTGCTGGATGTCTGCGTCGATGTCTATGTCCGTGTCTTTTGTGGTATTGGAGGTGTTATTGCTGGTGGTGGTTGAAGGAAGTTTGGAGAGGTTGAGAGCCAACTGAGAGTTGAGCTTGTGCATGTGTTCGGATGATATGAGAGTTATGAGCCAGGAAGGTATTTGCTTCTGGTTCTGGTTTTGATTCTTTCCATGGTCCTGCATTCGGTTGGAGGTCCGTTTGGGGTCCTGAATTCTTGTTAGAAGCGTTATTTCATAAGATGATGAGGTATAGACGTACCTGCTTGATATCGATGGTTTGGTCATGGATGAAGAGGTTGTGCTCAGTCAATCGATGGGTAGACATGATGATGGCTGGTTGTTCAATATAGCTGGCTGATCGAATGTGTGTAGACGTGATTGTGGAATGGAATACAGTAGATATACTGAAGAGAATATCGCTGTTGATGAAATACTGAATGTCCATACAAGCGGTTAGCAAACACTCTTATATAGCACACCCCCTTCTAGCGCATACCTCCCTCCATTCACTCGATTTCACGCACATGCGTCATCTACTCACTTTCTTCTAGACCCCCACAGACCAAACCAGACAAAAAGACCCAACAGCACGGATCAACCTACTGCAAGGTAAGGTGAGGCAAAGGCAACGCTCAAGTTCTGCGCTAATGCAACTGAAAGATTGCGAGTGAACTAGACACATCCACGCATCCATCCATCCATACCCCTCACCGTACTAATTGTAGATATCACATACCCCTCAAACACAGCCATCTTGCCTGTCTGCCCATCCACGCCACGCAATCCAGTCCCCGATCTGCAAACGAAACAAAAAAGAAACCACCAGCAGCAGTACCACCTTCCTCAACACCATGGATGGAAATAGAAACTAACGGTGATAGGCACTAGCCCCAAGACCAAGAACGAAGAGGGGACAAGATAGAAGAATGGAAAGGGGATATGTGTGTGCAACCACACATCAAGAAGTACCCTTATCAACACCCATCTAACTATCTAACTAACTATCTGCCGCATGCATGTCTTGAAGGGTAACCATTCCCTCGGGCTGGGAAATCACAAAAAACTAACGGTTTCCCGCAGCTAGCCTAGTTAATCAGGGGAAGGAAGGGAGGGAAGGAAGGAACGTTGTTACATTGCATTTGTTCATGCCCAGTGCCAGATCGTCGGGTCCGGGATCGTCAGCGCCGGCGTTTCTACTTGGGGTTGATTGCTGCTGGGCTAATGCATGTCCTACTTTCTTACGCTGGGTGTGGTCTGATCTCTCGTGGGCTGTGCTTTGCTTTGGCTTCTTGCCTGGTCTGAGTCTGGTCTGGGGATGAATCCGATCGATTGCCTCTCTCGTGTTATCATCATCATCTACAGTGATCTTCTACGTCTAATTTCTTTTCAACCAGTAGAGATGGTCTACATGGTAAGTGAGTAGCAAGAGAATTGCAATGGAAGAAGGCTAACAAGCATACGATCTCCCCAAGAGCAGATCACCACCGTCGCCATCATCGTGATCAACCCGAAAGTCAATCAATCACTCAATTCCTAAACCAAAGCTTTCATTGATGCCCGAGTCCCCGAAACCCACCACCCATCACTCACCACTCAACACCCAAAGCCCGTTAGGTATCAATGACAGCAAACCATCAACTATCCCAAACAAAACCCACTAGTGACAGCTATAGTAGAGACAATCTATACCGGATCCAGAACCTCATACATATATAACTCTTACTCCTATAGTACTTACTGTACTTCAAAGGAGGAAAAGGACGCCCCTCCCTGACCCGGGAGAATGGTTCCGTAGCGTGATGGATAGATCATTCCTCTATCTACCGACGTTACATTGCATATATACCCTGCTTAGGTCTAAGAAGTACGGAGTAGGGCAGGGCAAGACAGTCCCGGCAGGATTCGCATCCCAGTCATCCAATACGCACTACTCCATAGTAATGCTTGCTTTCTGCCTGCGCTGTTTCGCTGCCTAGATATTCTGGGGCTTACTGACTGACTTGGACGACTGGACGAATCTACGCTAACTGCCCAATCCCTGCATGTCAGGTATAACAGAGCCAGTGTGTCGGGGACCCTAACTGATGCTGATTGACACGAGGTGATACAAGTCAGGGGTTCGAACAAAGCAACCATACTGTCGGGACTGCTAACTACTGACTACTCAACTGTCACAAGGGAAGCCCCATTATTGAGTTTCTTGAGGGTGTAGGACTACTATCCCACACTACTGCGGCCGAAAAAGCAAATGTCGGCCGCTACGTTGTCGATCGCAATTCATTCATGCGTCGTAAGGGCTGCCGCGCCTACCTGAACCAGCCGGATTAATTATCGTCTCTCAATTATTGCATGGTTAATCGATCTGGCACCCATCTGTGCTACCGGGGCCGACGGTGGGCTAGACGTGTTGGATGAGCAACAGCAAAGGGGTATATTGTGTATCCTAAAGGGTCTGCAACATCTAGCATATGTGAAGAATATCATCACGTCGGGTATTCAGCAATAACAACGCAAAACCGGCCAATAAAGCAAGTGAGCAATAACAGCCCCAAACAGCCATCTATCAGTAGCCCATTCTTTGCTGCCAAAATGTCCCAAGCCCATCAGTGGCGTCCAAGTGACCATTCAGTGTTCCAATAGCCCCACGCCTTCGTCGTGACAGCGACTCCAGCCAGGGCCCCGGACGGAAGATATTCGTGGCTTCTGATGCTACCAATTTATCATGTTTTGACCGCTGGCATTTGTTTCTCACCCGGCTTCCTTTGGCGGCTGATGAGGTTTCTCGCATGTTGTCGGGAGAAGACAAGGCAATTAAGGATTCCTCAAGCATTGCCTCACAGATATGGTGCGGCTGTTTTCCCTGAATATTTCTGCCAAGCTGTGTGGCCTCGAGGCGTTCCTGTATTTCTTGTGTTTTATTGCAGACGGCTGCACTCGAGGTTGGCATACTCAAGACCTGGGTGTCAAGCTCTGTATCCATATCAACAATGACAGATGCTATCTCCCACTCCTCCATGTCAATCAAACTCGCCAACTCTGAACAGCAGTCATTGGCTTCAGGCACACCTGCAAAGTCCAAGCTCTCATAATCTGGTTCCTCGATCATCTGTCTAATTTGGCTCTGATGACCCTGCATGTTTTCGCCACGATTGTCGACATCGGACATCAAGGACGACTTATCCCTGCTGCCATTATTCAGGAACCGGGAGAGTAGGTCGTAGTCTGGTGTGATTGTTTTTCGGAGCTTGGCACCCATTGCTCCTTCATAATCAAATTCCTCAGTGTCAGCCACGGAGGTGCTGCCAGGCTCCAAGGTTGGCTGCCGGCACTTGCTGGCATTGGGCCAGGCAAATTGGCTGATAGTATTGCCGTGCACAGGAGCTGCCACAACTTTCTTGTCTAATCCCCGTTCCTTGATCCCTTGGTCGTCTGCTTTGTTTTCATCAACAGATCTGTCTGCGAGCTCATCCAACCTCATGGCGTCACAGGGATGCTTGCACTTCTGAGAGACTCCATCAAGTCTAGTGGAGCACCGCTGGCCTTCATCTACGCTTGTATTATCGACTATATTATGACTAGTCAACTGGGAGCCTGGTTCCTTATCACAGTGCACCTCAGAATTTCTACTTGGCGGGTTAACAAGAGCAGACACGTAACTGTCTGTAGCAGGTTCTGAAATGGCAGTCATTGCCTTGGGCTCGGTAGCAAGGTCGTCTGCTTTGGGTAATTCTTGTGAGCGATAGAGGGCGACTGCAGAGGGGGTGTCCGAGACAACATTCTTATACATGGTCCCCCCTGTGATCGAACCGCATTCTTCCTCGAAGTGTCCATAGGTCGGGCCGTTTAGGGTAGCTTGATTGGTATTGCTCCCATGAAGAAAGTCGCTTTCAGAGAAACCAGAGCCAACACTAGCTTTGGTTTCTGAATTCAGAATCGTATCAAATCCGAAGAAGTCGAGCGACGGATCGCGGCTGCGGGTTCTGACAGGAGATGATGCCTTTCCTCTTCTGAAAATCCCGCTCGGGCACCTTTGATTCAGCTGTGATGGTATTAGCCCTCTCACTTTAGGCGTAGTAGCATGGCCACTCACAGTAAGACGATCACAGGGCACGTTGGGGGCACGAAAGCTGTCGTTGTTTGTCCTCTTCTTCGAACGGGAGCGTTCGCTGCTCTTCTTATTCTGAACCTTGTACTCATATCGGTCTTTCTTGGTTCTGTGTCGAGGCTGCCGCTCATAACCGTTCCGTCCCCCTTTTTCGGTGTTTGAAGATGTTTCCATATCATTTACTGTTGATGATGCACCTGGCTGTTGGGATTCTGTTGGCTCGAGTGAAGCCATCTGACTCACACGAGCCTGTCGTTGCTGCACAGAGGGATAACACATAGTGACCCCTCCTCTTTGAGCGTAATAATTCTCCCGCCCAAGCCACCCTGGCTGCCGTTCAGCAAAACGGGTTGGCATGTTCCCAAGTTCCGCATTTCTCTTCATTATTTCATCGTATCGATCTTTGTCAAAGGCATAAGACACCGGTTGTAGGTAATAGTAAGGAGCTGTAGGTTGTCAGAGGTGCACTTAAGGCCTCAAATGCGGGTAACGATAAATAAGGCCTACGGTGGAGTAGAGAGCTTCGTGTATCTTGTGCTTCGTAGCCATTCTGTGCGGCATCTGATTCAGTGATCCAGTCCTCGATTCTATTGTAGAGGTCGGAGTGTCGTAGCGGATTAGAACTGACATGAGCCATGTTGTGTGAGCTGGTAGGAGATAGGAGTGTGGTCAGTGAGTCGAGGAAAGATGTGGCGAGAGTTGTGGAAGAGAGCAAATGTGTGTGTGGGTGTGGGTGTAGGCAGGAGCTTCCCGGATGACATCTTGACCATCTTTTGGCGTCACTGTTGCCTCAGGAGATGTCGCGGTTGCCAAATATGATCACTTTACTAGTGAGTCAGTGTAATATAGGATTAAGCCGGGAAGGAGATCCCGAGTCAACGTAAAATCGTGTTTTCTTAACAGGACTATTAAGGCTATCTATGTACTACTAGTATGTCTGCTCGCAATCTGCGTCTCCTTTTCGTCACATCTTATTCCCTCATCCTCACTTTACTTCTGTCTTTAATGCGTAACAGTGATATGTCGGTATGTATCAAGGTGGCTGGCAACTCTTCAATTCCGACCAACGCGCTATACTCTTCAGCAACACACAAGACAGCTTTGGGGGGGCGCATCTTTGCTAAGGGTATATCTAGTACTTCCTGATGTACCCTTGCAAAGCAAGGTCCTATTACATGCTGTGCCTAAGCAAAATGCCCAGTAACACCCTGCCGCTCCATTCTTTTCCCCTCCAATTATCGCCAGCTATCTCTCTTGGAATCCATGAAGCAAAACCAAAGGATCCGACATGCGGCAGCAGCAAAGAGGGGAGATCGGGCCTTCAATAAGGGGGGCTTCGATTGGTTTGTTGTGCACCTCCGGCAGTATCGATGGGAGCCTCGAGTCTCAAACGTGTTGCGTATACAAATAAATACTACGCAGGCAAGATATTTCGAAAAGTAGGCTGTCAGCATAATTACAAATTCCAGCATTCCTTGAGCTCTCCGCAGTACAGCTTTCAAAGGAATTATTCCGAGTAAGTGATTTTGCCTGGTCAGCTGAGGGACGTAATTAGCGGATTGCCTCGGTTCACCCGAGAGATGCTGCATTGGTTGCTAGTGCTGAGCGAGCTGTGGTTGATTCATACGCAAGCCTGCCGATCTATCGGTCAATGCCCTGTTGTCCTCCTGTACAGGACTTGTCACCGCCACGCCGTCGTCGGGGGTTGCTTCTGTTATGCTCATGCTCATCCTGTGCTCCCGGGTGTTGCTGGCAGATTGCCTGAGCTCGGATGTCCATTTCCTAAGAGATGGCTGCCATTCTGAAAGAGGTCCATCAGTTTGATCACCTATGAAGTTCTCAACCACTACCCGGCCATCTCGTCTGATATTAACACTAGATTAGTTCGTGAGGTCGCCCATCCTGATGAGGCCCTAGAGAATTGATGCAACTCTCAGGATGAAGAATAAAGCACCGTGAGCGAGGAAAGACTAAAGTAAAATGAAAGGTAGAGCGAACACTACTCTTATACTTGGGGGTCGGATATCCTCATGCACAGCACTCACTTGACAAGATTCAAGATCCTGAGTGTAGCTGAGAAGCACTGCAGCCCATCAAATCCCGAAACAGATTCTGATGGCCAATAGGGAAGCCAATAGAAAGCAATCGGGGGAGGTGGGTGCAAGCAAGAGTGGTGAAAGAAAGAAGCTTAGTTCTGGCCCCACCAGTAGCTGGAATGCTTCCACCAGTGAGTACTTCAACCCGGGAATTGCTTAGTAGTGAAAACCCGAGATGTCAGATAAGCTAGATAGACAGCTGGCAGGTACCAGACGGGCCCCAGTTTATGCTCCCCGGCAAGTGTCGGTTACAACTTCAAATGCCAGCAATAAAACCTCCCCCCGGAATGGTTGAACAGCAGCGTCCGTGCAGCGAACGATTGACCATGGCCGGCATCTTAAACAGCCCTACGACGAGGATCCGGGGAGATGAGTGGTTCTTAGTCGGTCAACGGGAGCTGCAAACTTGACACCCGTTGAGTCCTTGAGCTTCGCCATGCATAAAGGCCTAGCCGAGATCTGGTCCTTAGCTCCCTTTCAGGGCTGGCCTGGTTTCCGGTTCTTGCATCCTCAAAACCAGGCTCAGCATGGTCCATCCAAGTAGAGTAGTAGATAGTTGCAAGCGCCTTGGTGGAAAGTCGCCAAACCAACTTGAAGGAAACATCCACCCACCGGAATCCGCGGAGAAATGTGATCCCAGTGCAACGGCTGCATCCACCGGCGGGCATCTCAACTCTTTTTATTTTTTTTTTTGCCCCCAATTTTTTCCCATATTTTTCTAGGGGAGGAGGGGAACGGAGGTGCGCCGGGCGTGACTCTTTAGCGTCTCCAATCCCATCGCTGGTTTGCATTATTAAGACAAACAGCCCTGATGCTTTCTCTTCCCTTCCCTTTCCCTTGAGCCTCGAGCACGCCAGGCTTTCCCTCTTCCTGCCTTCCCTCTCTTTTTCTCGGTTTTCCTCCCCCCCCGCTTTGCCAGCCGCGTTTTCTTCTTCTTCTTCGTCATTCTCACCGGTTCCTACAAAACTAAATCCCCCCTAAAACTCCCCCCCATTCCTGGTCCCGGTTCTGCAGAACTGCTTCCTTAGTTTACAACTACCCCTCCATCCCTTACTCAAATTCAAGCACCACTCGCAAATCAGGTAGGTCGGACTTTTTCTTCTCTTCGTCTTTCCCTTGGCAGTATGTTTTTGTTTCATGCTTGGTGGAGTCACTTGCAACGGTCTCTCTGAATCTCCGTCGTGGAGAGGACCCTCCAGGGTCTGCTGTCGACTCTCTTAAAACCATTCCCTTCATCCTCTCTCTCCCACTCTCTTTTTCATTTTTCCCCCCTCCATCTGAAATTTTTTAAGTCTCTTCTTTTTTTCGGATTTTGTGACTCTTTTTTTCTCAAAGTTCGAACGTGACTACTTTGCCAAAGAAACCATCGCATCTAACCCCTCATTCTCGTTGTCGTGACCTCCTCAATCCGCAAGTGCTTACTACCAGGATAGTTTCCAACCCCCTTGTAGGAAACCTCAATAAAAATGGCTAAGCTCTTCATCGGGTCTGTCAATTCTGTTTCCTTTTTGGCTACCCCGCCCCCAATATCAGACTGACCAAAATCAGCGGCCTTGCCTGGCACACCACTGACGAGACCCTCCGCGAGGGATTCTCGCAATACGGAACAATCGAAGAAGCCGTTGGTCATCCATGTTTCGCGGAGCAATGAAAGTTCTCCCTTATCATGCTCGTATTGACCAAACTCAGATCGTCGTCAAGGATCATGACACCCACCGCAGCCGTGGATTCGGGTTTGTCCGCTTCGCCAGTGATGTTGAGGCCGACGCTGCCATGAATGCCATGAACAACCAGGAGTAAGCAAGCTATCTAAATGCTCCTCTTTCCAGACACTCACCACTTCAGATTCGACGGCCGTGTCATCCGTGTCGACAAAGCCTCGGAGTCGAGACCGCGCATGGGTGGAGGTGGATTCCATGGACGCGGTGGCTACAACCGTGGCTACAACGGCGGCGGTGAGTTCTTCTTGGTCACTGCCATCAAGGCCCTCTTAAATTATATATTGTATCATATAACTAACAAGAAGCAGGCTGGCGTTCCCAGCAGCAGGAGCCTGAGGCTACAGAGTAAGCTGCGCAAGCTATTATAGCATTGCCGATGACTTACTGTGGACCGGTCTCTTGTCCTATTTTTCATTTCTTTTCACGCTTTTTTCCCTCTTTCTCGCATGTCAGCTGCTGTTAGTCCCTTCGGACTTAAAGTTTGGGATAAGAGCACGGGCGCATGCTACCCAGCTTTTATGATGGTGACTTACGACGAAACGACCCCTGCCTCTAGTGTTTTTTCCTCTATGATGTTTCCCCCCCTCTCACGCCAGTTCATTGCGATAATGACATCTCTCGTGGTTTGATTTGATTTCGCATCGCGTGGCTTTAAATCAATTGTTTAATATGTCGTTTACTCGGGTCATGGTTGACATGTATGTAATCTGGCTTATGTTAACACCTGATTTGAGGCCGATGGGAAAGTGGTCCAGCGAAAGCAATCAGTGCTCTATCGTGAATTTGGAATTAATCTAGGTCCAAGTCATGATCTATTACAATCTCATCATCTATCTCTCTATTTTCTTGCCCCGTTATGTCTATTCAGCAGGCGGGAACCGTTCATGTGCTTCCCGCGCCGATGGATGCAACGACTCTTCCAAGTCCCGTTCAGCCTGCTCCTCCTCCTCACGCACCTCTTCCTCGTTCTGGAGCGCTTTCACCCGTTTTACTAGATCGGTGACATGCATCTCAGCATTACCGAACCCAAGCCCTTCAAGCGCCTTCTCCAACATGAACAGGTATTCCGCGTTCTTCCCGCTCTTGCCCTCGCTGCGACTGATCACCTCGGCCACCGCCTGTTGTTCACGCTGCGCAGGGTCACGTAGAAATTGCGGGTTGCTGGGCTGGCCGATGTAGACCATGCAGGTAATGGGGGTGGCAGGATATTCCGAGGTGTCGGTAGATTCAGCTCCCTTGGATGTTAGGACGGGGTGGAACGGCGTGTAGTGGTCGGAGTAGCCGTTGATTTCCCGAATGTCAAGATAGTGTCGGACTTCATTGGCATGGCTAGCAGGGATGTGGTACGCTACGCCCCAGACTGTAGCTGTTGCGGAGGTTTCATGGTGTGCTAGCTGTTTGCGAGGGTGGTTTGTGAGATAACTTGACCAGAGGAACAGATTTGGTGCATTCACAGAAGGGAGCAGAAGGAACATACCGGATCATCGAGAGTTTCCCAAAACTCCCGGTCAATCACTGTTAATACCCGACCTGGATTCTCTGGCGTTCCGCGGTGGTCGTTACTGTCCTGCGTGTTAGCCTATTGTACTGCAGACAAATAGAATGCTCCGCAGCTTGAAGACACATTCAAACCTACCTAGCCTATAGAGTCAAATGTCCCAGTTAGTCTCGTCACCGATCGATATCATCCACAGACATGACAGGCACATATATATCATAGAATAGACAATGACATAGTCAACATACCTGCCAAAACCTCCGGACATAGCCATTGATATAACCCGGAACACGCTGATCTACCACAACGGTGATGAACAATTAGTCACGCTGAATCAATCCAGACCTCTGAGACCTTCTGCCCCTTAAAAGAACAGCAACATACTAAAATGCGGCGGAGGCTTCCATATCAAGCTCCTTTTGGCAGAAAATAGAGGTCAGCCACTACCGTCACCCTGTCATGGGATTATCGCCGCGCCAATCGCGTTAGGGGACCTGATAGGCTTACCCGTAGCCGAACACCCAGAGGTCGCCGTCGGGGAAGTTTTCGCGCCAGCCTTTTTCGGATGAAAGGACATGATGGGCTTCCTCGCTGGACACCATGGCTTAAGCTATCCTGGGGCGGTTTGGTATGGCTTTTGGCTGATCTTTGTCGGTGTGGATAATTCGGTTCGCCTGCGGGGTACTATATATTACCCCTCATTCGATTTTGCGCGATGGATATATATTGATCGTAGGGGAGGGACAGGTATTTATAGGGGTGAAGCCTGGTGCAGTGGCTTTCAGATTTCTAGGAAAATGTCTTTAAAGATAGCAGCAGAACTAATACAACTGCCTCAAGGGAATAAATACCCCAGATTTGTCAGTCTATGAATGCAAATGGCGAACAACTGAGCCAGATAGTCGCAAGAAGGCCTCTGCGTGTGTTTGCATTGTTTGCGAGGTCCCCTGACCTGATCCGCCCCCAAAGGATGTTGCCACTTTCCTGCTTTCTCATTCGCTCTCATTTTCTTCTGATACTAAGCACTATCCCCAGGATACTAAATGCTTTATTCTAAGCCTCGCATTATTCCTACGGATATATATTCACAAACAGGAGAAATTAGGAACCACTCGTCACTACCGGATTCAACGGCACGGTTTTGACTGAGGACCTTGGCGGACTGCAGAAACTGCTCGTACTCGTAAAGCCGCGTCGAGTATTGCTGCGGGGCGGCCTAGACGCCGGACCCGGCCTTAGGTCAAGCTAAACCGCCTGGCAGCTATCGTCCATGGCGGATCGCTAATCAATTGAATTCAACTATCTTCAACTTTATGCAGGGTTGGGTTGGATCCGATCCTTCGAAGACACATCCCTGTTCAGCTTAGATTAATTGATCGACCTGATTGTTTCGATCATCAGCTCTTTTGGGCTACGTCAATGACTGGCCGTCCTTCTATTCTATCTGAGTTGTATAGTGGTCTGTCTTGTGCCCATTAACTGCATCATGGCTAGCCTTCTCCGTTTACTACGCACCCAGTATAACCCGCCCGTCGACCCCAGTGGGGTTTCATTTGCAGGAAAAACGGTCATTTTGACCGGAGCTACCTCCGGACTGGGGTTTGAGGCCGCCGTCAAGCTCCTCAATCTCGGGGTGGAGTCGCTCATTATAGGGAGCCGGAACCTCCAGCGAGGCCAAGCGGCAAAGACGGAGCTTGAGAAGCTTACAAACAGACAAGGGGTGATTCAAGTATGGCAGCTGGAAATGAACAGCTTCCAGAGCGTCAAAAGTTTTGCAAACCGGGTGAACGAGGAGCTGCGCCAATTGGACATTGCGTTACTGAACGCCGGAATATGGAACCGCGATTTCGGCGTATCGCCCGAGGGATGGGAGGAGACATTGCAGGTCAATACGTTATCTACTTCCCTATTGGCGCTTTTGCTCCTTCCGAAACTAAGGAGTAGTTCATCCTTGTCCGACCCGGCTCATCTTACGGTCGTATCCAGCCAACAGTTCGTGCGCGTCAAAGCCAAGAGTCTCCGAACGGTGCAGCCGTTGTTAAAGCATCTGAATAGCCCGCAGTCCTTCAAAGGCCCAAGGCAGTATGGTATCTCGAAGCTTCTCCTGGAATATGTTCTCAAGACAGTAGCTGGTCTTGTTCGGAATGAGAACGGCACCGTGCCGGTCATCATCAACACTGTAAGCCCTGGGTTTTGCGTCTCATCTCTTGGACGGCAGTACAGTAGATTCTACGAGCGATGGGCGACGTGGTTGGCTTATAAGCTCTTTGCTCGCACGGCGGAGCAAGGAAGCCGGTCGTTGGTCAGTGCCACTTATCAGGGGGTGGAGTCGCATGGGAAATGTTGGCGGAGTGATGGATATCTAGAGTGAGTGCTGCTCTGCTGGGATGGTTTCTGCGTGTCTTTGCGGCGTGTTTGCTAATATTAGGGCAGTGAATCTGTGGCGTTAACAACAGGAGCGGAAGGGAAGCAGTTCCAGGCGAGAGCGTGGACGGAGATCATGAACGAGCTGGAGGAGCAGTCTGAGGGGCTGAAGGAGTCAATCAGGGGGTGGTAAAAGCGCTTAATGTTCACTAGCCGGGGCGATACGTTTACGCCTTCCTGCACGGGGCGATTGAATGACTGCCTAGCGTGACTGATGAGTGATAGTCATAGTCAGACCATACCAGGCCATAATATGATAGTAACAAGGCCTTCCCCGACGAACAGACGCTGGCCAGGCTCCACCGCGAATGGACGAGGAACCTGTGGGCCAAGCATTTCCGGAACAAATAAAGAAGCCTCAAGTATAGGGCTGAGAACGGTCGGACATTCCTGTGTTTGGTTGCGGACCGACCATTACTGCTGTCAAGAGGTTAAGGTTACATTGGCGACGGTCTATTTCTATCTGAAGCGATTGTTGCTGCCTCCTCCTTGTAGACCTATATACACAGCCTCCTTGCAGGGGTGGCAGGACAAGTTTATTAGTTGAAGCGGTGCCTGAGCATCTCCGCTTGGCGACTCCTGCTGAACCGCCGCCCCACGGCTCCGCTCCCAAGACCGCAAAAACAATCTGTTCGTTAACGACTAGCAGCCCATGGAACAGAACTTAATCTCTCCATCGCTCTCCCTGACCTCCTTTTGATCCCAACCCATCGTATTTTTCTTCTCTTTCTCTTTCACTTCCTTCCCTTCTCCTCTCCGATCAACCCGCCCTCTGTCACTGGGCGCCTAACCTTTCAATCTGCCCCTCGCTGGATTGCGCCCGGCTTCAGTTACGTCAGCTCCGCGGCCATGGCATACAACCAGTCCTACAACCCCGATGCGCTGCCAGCGTGAGTCACAACTGTCTGGCGGTCAATTAGAAGTAGGGATTAGGGTCGCTAACATGTCATTTATGAATACAGTCATGCAGAGCCGGAACAGGTACGGTAGTTTTCCTCGAGCGGTTCTTTGTCTGCCTGGTTGATTGCCCCGCGCCTCCTAACTCGGTCTATGACAATTAGGTAGCGCAAATGCTCGGCGCCATGCAATCCAACAACTCGCACCACCAGAAGCAGTCTCGCCCATCTCCTCACCCTCCCTCCAGCGGGGTTCCACCTCGAGTACCCGTTTCTAGTGCCGGCAGTCCCCATCCTCAACGTTACGGCGCACCGAGTCAGGCTCCGCACGGTGGACGGTCGCCGGCAAACGTCCCTCCAGCGAGTCAACAACAACGCCCTCACCCACTCCATCCCTCTCCTCCTCCGCAAAACTACGGCTTTGGGCCGCCTCCTAGCCAGCCAGTGCGCAATCGTCCGCCGCCCGCGTCGCGTCCACCCAATTCGCCCAACCATGGCGCACTGGCAGTTCCCGACGACGACCCGCAACAGCTATTCCCCCTGTTCCGCGCTGCGAACACGTCGCATTCGGGCACACTCACGGAGATGGAGCTGGGCTCTGCTCTAGTGAACGGAGATTTCACGTCGTTTCACCCGAAGACCGTTAAGATGATGATCCGCATGTTTGACCGGAACAACAGCGGAACAATCTCATTTGACGAGTTTGTGGCACTGTGGCGCTACCTTGCAGCGTGGCGGGAGCTGTTCGATCGATTCGATCAAGACCGCAGCGGGCGCATTAGCCTGTACGAGTTTGAGAATGCACTGGTGGCCTTCGGGTACCGGCTAAGCCAGCCATTTGTGATGGTGCTATTCCGGACATTCGAGAACAAAGGCCGGCAGATGAATAATGGTCCTCCGTACGGGCCAGCGAAACAGGGCATGAGCTTCGATTTGTTTGTGCAGGCGTGCATTAGTCTGCGGCGCATGACGGACGTCTTTAAGCGGTATGATGATGATCGCGACGGCTATATTACGGTGAGCTTCGAGGAATTCTTGACTGGTGAGTTGGCCCCCGCCCTCGTTATGCGAAAACAAGCGTGGAAAATTAGTTGCTAATGTCCGGCGCAGAAATCCTCCAACTTCAGGACGGATAGGTTTGATTTGGATGATATGGTGGATAGGAAGATGGCTGACCTTCTTCCGGGGGTTTCCTCCCTAATTATATTGTACATTATACCCTAATTTTCCGTAGCATCTTTCTTCGCAAGCAACCCGGGGAATCTACAGCGAACAAGTATGGCATGGGCTATTTTTTCTTTTCTTATGTTTCCGGTCTCGAGCGAAGCCAGACTGCCCCCTATCGGGCGCAATTGCAATGCCCGCAGGATGCTTTAGTAAAAACGCAAGTCAAGATGCGGTGTAGACCCAATCCCACGATGCTCCATGATGATTGAACAATTGACGGAAAGCATCAATGCAGATCATCCTCGGGGAGGAAGAAGAGAAGAGGAATTGTGAGAGGTCTATTTGTTTGTTTTTCAGGCATGCAGACCTGCAGACCAGCCAGTGATCGACAACTTTCAAAAATGTCCGGGCGTGCCAACGGTGTAACTTGCCCCCAAATTCTCCCTCCCTGCTGCAGTCGGGAGTTTTCTCCCAACTTTTCAGTGTTGATAGGCCTTCCATGGATATAGCTTGTCTATCACCCCGTGTCCATGGATTGGAGTGGCCCGTGGGGTGGCTTTCGGGCTTGCTCACCCACGAGATCGATAGCATTTTTGCCCGTTTTGGGGATGGCTTCGTCGTTGTTTCAACTTATCTCCGAGCCTTAAGAGCGGGCAAGCATTGACAGGGAAAATTTTCTCTCCTTGCAAGGATTATTTATTAACTGTGCGAGATTCCTGTCTAGTCTAGTCTAGCTAGCTAGCTAGTTAATTAGTTGACGTGGTCAATTAAGCCTGGCCTCTTGCGTATTCTTTTCCTCCCCAAGTCTAGACTTTTAGACTGGCTGCAACCGTCGGTTCAGTCCGCCACTGCGAGGGGCCCTTGTCCTTCTCCTCACCCCCAATTCTTTGGACAGCAAGCTTTCAGCCTCTGTTGAGTCATTCGTCTTCGTTTTCTCCTGCTTCTCTCTCCAGACTCATCCTGGGGTTCCGTAAGCATGACGGTCGCTCAGGATCCTTCTCGTGAGGATGCTCGTATCGTGCAGCAGCAGCATGCCGACCAGGACAAAGAAGTCCTGGTAGATGCGGAGAAGATGTCACCATCCGACGTGGGCACTTCGTCCAGAGATGGCTCGGAGAAGCCCGACCCGACGAGGTCATCAACAGAACAACCATCTCCTGAAGCGACTGGAGATGGGTCCGAGGAGAAAGCGGGCGCTGGTGCGCCGTTGGATAGAGTGCCGTCGCAGGCGCAAAAGCTAGGGAAGAAGAAGATTGTCGTTGTCATGACTGCGCTTTGTGTATGTCCCTTGCTTTTCCATGCTTCTGATGACTCCGTCGCTAACCACATGGTGTTTCAATATAGCTTGTCTTGTTCCTAGCAGCTTTGGATATGGTAACGACCCTCTATCGCATCGTTGCATTTACATCTACTCACACTCGTCGTCTCTACAGACCATCGTCTCCACAGCCCTACCTACTATCGCGTCGCATTTCCACGCTTCGGAGAGCGGCTACTCATGGATCGCTTCATCATACATGCTGGCCAACGCCGCCACCGTCCCCTTATGGGGCAAGATCAGTGATGTCTGGGGTCGCAAACGCATCATTCTCATCGCCAACCTCCTCTTCCTCGTCGGCAGTCTGATTTGTGCGCTGGCGATCGACCTCCCCATGATTATCTCGGGCAGAGCTATTCAAGGTGCAGGCGGCGGAGGTATTACCGTGCTGACCAATATCTGCGTCTCCGATCTCTTCAGTGTCAGGTCCGTCAGGCCTCCCACCAGCCCTTCACAGACTCAACACTAACCCTCTTCCCCAGAGAACGCCCCATGTACTACGGCCTCTTCGGCTCTACATGGGCCATCGCCGGTGCCCTGGGCCCTATCGTCGGCGGTGCCTTCACCACAGACGTAACCTGGCGCTGGTGCTTCTACCTCAACCGTAAGTCTCCTCTCACCCTCTCCAGCCTTAACATCCCCCCAACTTACAATCTCTTAGTCCCCATCGGTGGCGTCTCCTTCGTCATTTTAGTCTTCTTCCTTAAGATCGAAACCGGAAAAGTCCCCTTCTGGGCGGGCATCCGCTCCATCGACTGGACCGGCAACATGCTCATGCTCGGCGGCACACTAATGTTCCTCTTCGGGCTCGAATTCGGCGGTGTCAACTACCCCTGGGACTCAGCAACAGTAATCTGCCTGATCATCTTCGGCGTCTTCACCTGGGGCCTCGCCTTCCTCAACGAATGGAAAATCGCTCGCTACCCCGTCATCCCAATCCGCCTGTTCAACAACAAACACAACGTCCTAATACTTCTAATCTGCTTCTGCCACAGCATGGTCTTCATGTCCGGCTCCTACTACCTGCCCCTATACTTCCAAACCGTTCTCCTCGCCAGCCCCATCATGTCCGGCGTCTACGTCCTTCCCACCGTCCTCAGCCTCTCCATTTTCTCCGCCGGCACCGGCTTCGTCATCAAGAAGACAGGCCGATACCGCGAACTCATCATTTTCGGCTTAGCCCTCATGGCCCTCGGATACGGCCTTCTCATCGACCTCAAATACTATGCCTCCTGGCCTCGCATCATCATCTACCAAATCATCGGCGGCATTGGCACTGGCCCGCTTTTCCAATCGCCCCTTGTCGCTCTCCAGGCGAACATCCACCCCTCCGACATGGCCGCCGGCACAGCTACCTTCGCCTTCTTGCGACAACTCTCCGCTGCCATTTCCATCGTCTTGGGAACAGTCATCTACCAGAACGTCTTCCGTGAGCAATTGCCCAAGGTCGCTGCCGCGATCGGCGAGCAGAAGGCTACGTCTCTCGCGGACTCGTTCTCGGGCTCGGCTAGCTCGCTTATCAAGTCTCTGGCAGCTGACCAGAAGACTGTCGTGTTGAAGGCGTACACGTTTGCGTTGAGTCGTATGTGGATCTTTTATTGTGCGATGGCTGGAGTTGGACTTATCATCAGTTTGTTTGTGAAGCCTGTGGTCCTGAGTAAATCGCATACGATTGCAAAGACGGGTCTCGCGGAGCAGGAGAAAGCTAGACAGGCGGTTTTGGAGGCTCAGAAGAGGGGGAGGGGTGAGGTGGGAGAAGCAAAGGAGGGGGTTTGATGCTCCCCCTCTTTTAGTTCTTCTTCTATGATGATATATACACTACACCGACTGGTAATCCTTGCGCGAAACCAGCCTAATAAATCCCCAACCTACAATCTAGGGGTCAAAAAAGGAAAAGAAAAGAAGGACGGAAGAAAGATCGAAAGAAGAAAAGAAAATCGGGAATCATTCAACTAACTAACGAACTAGATCTTTCACCTGCATTCAACATACATACTTGCATACTATCTACACAAGATGATGATGATGATGTATCTAAATACTTAAAATCTAATAATACTACCTGACAGACAGACTGGTTGAGATACTTACTTTACTAGTAGTAATTAGAAAATGGCACTCGTGCTTAGTAGCATCATACCATATGATACTATGATCTGCATACATAAATCAAATGTTTACCACAATGAAATTGACTATAATATCATATCATTCGATAGTTACTGTTTTATTATACTTATATGACGACAGTAACTTGTGTTGTGAACCAAAACCCCACCCTTGCATAACCATCATCCAACTCTATCTATCAGATAAACAAGGTAGAAAGTCAGTTGATGTCATGACTCGTGCGCGCGACAAAACTGAAATTTAGAGTTAACGTTTAGGTTCACGGCAACGGACTATCAATCAATTTAAATCCCTACTATCTACTCTTCTTATAATAGAAGCACCGGAACACGGGACGTGCGGTGAACCACAGTATTCAAACTAAGAAACCTACTATTGAATTAATTCTCCTAGTTGCACATCGCAGATCTTTGTTATGTACACCTTTTTTTTTTTTACTTTTATTCCAAAATAATAAGAACATAGTAATATATGAAAGAGAAAGCCACCCTTGACTAGAAGATTGAAACACTTAATATAATAATATTATGTGTCTTCTATCATCTTCAAAGTCCCCAGCGAAAAAAAGCAAAACAGCAAGAGAAAAAGGAAATAGGTAGGAAAAGGAAAGATTTATCGCACCATTCTCATTTGGTTTCGGACTTTGGAGAGAAATCGATGGATAGCTAGGTCAACTGCCAAAAACGACCATGGCAATAACAATAAAAGGAAGGGGTATAAAGTTAAATCGGAAACCCTTATCACAAAACAAGGAAGGACTTGGTACTGGTTCAGAACCGGAGGACAAAAAAAGGATCCAGGGGAAACAAAACGAGCCTCATTCGAACTTTCCCATCCCAATTAAGGAAACCAAAAGTAGCTTTCGCCAACGCCTTGAGATGCCATATATGAAACACGGGGGACTTGATCACCCCAGCAACAAAATACCACAATCATCAGTCTAGTAGTTGTAACAATATGGAGTGGATTACGTCTTTGGTTTCTTCACTACCCCTTCCGCATTGGGTCCACTATCAGGGCTTTTGCGCTTTTTGTCTTGCTCATCCTCGCGCCCAAACCCGGGGCCACTTTGTACCGCCGGCGTAGGGAACGTCAAGGGACTGGGCAACATGTTGCTGTCTGGTCCAGACCGCCCAAAGCCCCATTCCGGAAAGAAACTGGACGGTGACGGGAGAAGCGCATCCGAGACGAACCGACTAGGAAGAGCAGAGATTGGCGTATCTATATTGCTATTATTGTTGTATGCACTGTTGTTCTGTGGTGCTGCTCCCGGAGGCGGTGGCCGGGCAAAAGGATTTGGCGGCCCTTGAGCCCCTGCACTTAATATCGCACCCGCAGACGGCGAGGGCGGGGGCAATACCACGCTCGAGTGACCGGTGTCTGGATTCGCTTTGGCAGGCGTGAGCGTTTTGTTCCCCGCAGAATCACGTGACGATGAATCTGCCGTTGCGCTGCCCCGGTCCGAATTCTCACTCGGTATCTGTACCTTCAACTGCGGGCGCTTAGGCGGGAACTGGCCGCTGTTTGTACGCACAGGCGGCTTCAGGTCAACTACCGGCTGGGGACGCGGGGCTTCCGTGGCCGCTCGGGGAGGTGGAGGAGGGGGCTTTGCAGTTAGCCCAGCAGGCTTCCCTTCGTTTGGTCCGAGTGTTGCTCCTTCAGCCTTCGTTTGCGCATTCTCTCCCGCCTCCGTCGGAGGACCTACGCCAAAATGGCGCGCCAATACGGAGCCTCGGTCGTCAATGGGTGTGAAGATACTGCGAGACTTGGAAGAGAGAGATCGCTGGTGCGGCGGGGATGGGGTTCCTTCCGTCTTCATGGGACCTGGCATTGCGTCTGTCGGAGCGGTTCCTTCAGGAAGCGACACTGTTCGTGGCGGCGGTGGTTGCTGTTCTGTTGTAAACGTCGGAGGCATGGAATTTCGTCCTTGCTCTGGGAGAAACGCTTGCGCGACCTGCGGGATGGCGGCATGGGGCGGCTGGGTCATGGCCATTGGAGGCGGTTGCTGTGAAAGTGCATGAGGCGGGTGTGGCATGTGTGGAGGAGCCTGGTGGTGCGGCGGCATGGCTTGCGGTGCCATTGTATGTGGAGGCATAGACTGTGGGGGCATGGAGTGTGGCGGCATCGCTGGATGATGCTGTGGAGGCGGAGGGGGTTGGTGATGCGGCCCGGGGGGTCCGTAATGAGTGAACTGAGGTGGGCGGGGAGGTTGAGCCATGGCGTGAGCAGCGTTGGGGTTATATACCGAAGGATTAGGAATGTACGTGAAGCCATTTTGCGGCGGCGGCGGAGGCGGCGGAGGGGTCGCATGGTGATGCTGTTGAGGTCCCATATTGGAGCTCACCCGACGAAGATGATTCCGAGACGAAGGCCGAGAAACTCCCTGCGGTTGAGGGGTACCGTGACGCGGAGCAAATGCCATCCCATTCCCTATGGGCGGGGAAGCAGACGGCGCATGAGTGACGTGCTGGAAGCCGGGATGACCTGGCAGGTGGGCGGGAATCATGGGAGGATTTGGAGGCGTAGGATGCACATCTTCGGGGGCAGGCGTCGTCTCATCTTCGTCATCATCATCGTCGCGTTTGCCGTTAAAGTCTTCAGGGCCTTTGTGTTCATGTGGGGGACCAAACTAAAAGCATAGGAAAGCGGCAATGTCAGATCAACGACAGTCTTTCCAGACGAGCGGGTTAGGTGGACAACGCACGTATTGATATCGAGTGAGGGCCTCTCGCATATCACATGACGAGAATTCGTAGAGCTTCTTGTTGTGACCAAAGATAATAACAGCGACATCAACCGAACACAGGACCGCAAGCTCATGTGCCTTCTTGAACAGACCACCCTTCCGTTTCAGAAAGGTCCTAGTCGCGCACCAGAGCGTTAGCTTGACGAACTAGGGTTTAATGGGGAGAGGTGAAGAGATCCACCAGCTTTAGCACTTACACTGAGCGGTTGCGATCATCCTTGATCGCCTTGATCTCGATCTTTCTGCGACCCATGAGGGACAGCGGATGAACGAATCCCACAGAAAAGAGCGTCGATGAAACACGCAGGCGAACAGGTCAAGCAGAGCTTCTGGGGGAATGGTTCGTCCGGATGAGATGGCGGCGCGAGCTGAAACTCGAGGAAGCGCCGCCCGCAAGGATTTCCGGGACGCGATTAGAGGGTGTAAAAAAATAATAAAAAAGGATGGCAGGAACCTCCAAGACTGTGGGCAGAATTTATATTTAGTATTTCCCTAGAGTCCCCACATGGAGAGAAGTACTGTCTTTCTCCGCTACGGAGAGAAGGTAAGGCGATAATATGCAAAAACCAGGGAAGATAGTGAACGACCGGGGGGTGTGTGGGAGGGGGTTGGTGATGCGAGAGAGTTGTTGGGTGGGAAGAGCAACAGGAAGGAGGGGTGAGATTGGGAAGAGTGACGGTATTTTGGAGGAGGGGATGAACAGGACACCAGAAGGGCGCGCGCGGGCGTGATCCGAACGGCAGGAAGAAACGACAAAGGGGGTGGGCGGTAGAGAGAGAGATGGACAGGGCAGGGAAACAAAGGGAAGAGAGAGAAAGACGAGGCCTTAGGAAACCCACCTTGAGCAACGAGAGACGAGAGATAGGCGACGTGATGGAACAAAAAGTCAATTAATTTCTGGGATGGGGGGGGCGAAATGATGATGGAATGAATGGGGATGAGAAAGGGAAAGGATGATTGATGGCTGGAGCGGCGACACGCGGGTGATGCAGAAGATTATTCTAAAGATAGACCGACGGTGGGAAGAGCTGCCGCCCGTTCGAGGTTTGGCCCATCGTCCCGGCGGCTAACCAACTCGCCAACGGCGGCTGTTGACTACCGCCTCCCTATTAATAGATTGATTGTCCCGGCAGTTCCATCACCTTTAGCTACTATAGATACCACTTAAGTGAGGTAGTGTTGAGTAGATATAAAATGGAAGGGTAGCATGCTTTCCTTCAGTCTCACCTCTACATTTCATGCTTACTTTTTGTGAAGCCTCTGGGTCGGACTTTTTTCATTCTTTCTCTCTATCCTCTTCCACAATAATACTATTTCACGCTTACCCACCCCTCTTTTCCCTCTCATTTACATATTATTCCCCCTCTTTCCAACACTAACTAAAAAATCAAACTAATCAACATTCATTGAGGGGAAAACTGTGAATAACGCCATCCCACTAATCCAAATGAGGTTACATTGCAGTTGGCTGGCACCTCCCCAACCACAAACCATCCAAACAAAGCTGCGCCGTTGGTTGTCTTACCGCCTGCCGGCACAGTCACAATCAAGTCTGGCGTATCGCTATCACCGCCAGCCTCAGGTATCGACTGTCCCAAACCGGATAAGTCCCAGTTGGCGATACGCCTAATCCGCATCGGGCCACAGGGACTCCTGATCAGTCACTTGCCTCTTCCAGCCAGGTCCTCTGATTGGCCCTTGCACCGTGACCCGTCACAGGAGGATCACCTTCTGAGTGGAAATCGTAGGATCTGTTCTGGTTCTTATTCTGCGCCATGAGCGGTGCTAAGGTGGTGCAGGCAGGCTAGGTGCTTCCTACATGACACTAACACTACCCTAATCAACTTATCACACTCGACGCGACACGCTTGGGAGAGGCGGTATGTTTCCCAATAGGAAAGGAAATTATTGCTGCTGTACAACCATGTCACATCAAATGATCCGGACTGGGCACCAATATTTGTACAGTGAGTTAGTAAGTATATACTCCTTAGTACTACTACCCTGTGACGAAAAGCATAATGAATCTTCAGCAAGTGAAACACCGTTGGGCCCCGCAGGTCTCCCATGCCAAGGCAAGGATTAATAGACATGCTGAGTCTGGACTGAGTTTATTGTATGTAGTAAGTAGATGAGGGGATGTATGAAGGGTGTGTGTGTACTGTTAGAAAAGAGGGTGTGATAACACCATAAGTACAGGTAGTGTTGATCATCGTCTCCCGCCAGATAACCAACTAACTAACTAACCTACCGGGAGATAGTCAACCATGTTGGCCAACACAACGCCTTAGATATAACTTGGTGGGAACCACGTTCCTCAAGTTGTGACCTCATAAAGTAAGCAAAAGATCCAGAAAAGAAGGGAACCCGATCGGTTCAGACTTGGTTGGACTTTTCTTTCGTTTGCTCCAATCGACGGTCGTTTACCGACTGGATCGCGGATAGAGAACCATGGCACCAAATTGCTGTGTTTTGCGGGCGTATTAATCTTTCACCCCCTGAAACGGCAAGCCCAGTAGATCCTCATCATCGCCGTCCTTTTTCATCTCAATTTGCGACTTCAGTGTTTCTTTTTCCCCTCTCCTTTATTCCCCCCCTCCTGCAAATCTTTGTTTCGGTCACGCTTTGTCTTCTGTTAATTCCCCTTCCACCACGTTGTCATCCGGGATTAACAGTGGTATCTACGCTCGTTGGCCATCCTGATTGCATTTCCTACCCTGGATTCCCTCGCGGTTGCTGCTGCTGCACGCTAGACGTGCTGCCCCATCCTGGGCTGCAGGCGGTCCTCCCTCTAGGACACTTGGATGGTCCTTGCTGTCTGCGTCGTCCATCGGACCATTTTCTATTTTTCTAGTTTCTGACTTTGCAGTTATTTTATTTTTCCTTACTAGGGTTTAATCTATTGAGGTATCCGATTCACCATCCGACTTGGGTTTCAGTGTCAAGTCCGCCTCTGCTTCTCGATTGTTTCCTTTTTCCTTAATACGGGTCGGCCACCCTTGCGTCCTGAAGGTCCATTGCAAAAGTGTTGGAGCACATCTGTTGGATCTTCCCTTCCCACCCAAAGTCTCGCGCTCGCATTAATCTACTGATCTCATTGGATCTCGACTTCACTACGGCCAAACGCATCTACGTTACTCCGCCGTTGGGCATCGCCTTGGACTCATTTACAACTCCCCGTTCGATCGCGTACTCCCCGCAAAAATAAATCTGGCGTGCGCATGGTGCAAGATGCCTTTCTTCACTCGTGTCTTTCGAAGTAAAGACACCAATGCTGCAAAGAAAGCAGCCAAATCCCCAGAAGTAGAAGAGAAAGGGCCCGCAAAGCCCACATGGACCGACGCGTGGCAGCGATCCGAAGTCGCCCCGGAGGAGGTTCAGGAACTCTTGCGAGGGTGCACCCAAGAACTGAAGGCACGAGGTATGTGTTTCTATCTTTGAACCGATGTGATCCACCGCCCCTCTGGTGTACAAGTCAAGTCAAGCTTTGCGCATTCCTCAGTTTGCTGATCCTTGCCTCGTTCTCCTTTTGACAGCTCTTCAAACTCCCTTTTTACTTCTACCCTTCCGCCCCAGCACCGACGCCAGCGCTGCACGTACCTTCATCCGTAACTACTTCAATCAGTCCCTGGAAAGGGGTTCACCTCTGAACGGGGATGCATTGGCACAAGAACTCCGGCTGTCGGACCCTATGGTGAGCCAACACATTTTCTTTCTACCTCCTGACGCTGAGGGGTCATTTACTCATTGGGATTCTATGTCTGTGTTGTATAGGTCCTGTGTAGTGTGCTGAAATGGTGTTGGAGTCGACTCCCTGGAGGAGTCGTTACCTGGGAAGCATATGAGCTGTTCAAGGTTGGGGAGCAAGGTATGTTACAAGAGGCGTCTGGTCAGGAATGTGTGCTAATGATCCCCAGATTCCCAATTCGCCCCCGACGCATTTACAACTTTCATTCCCATCAGTGTCGACTCAGACGCTCGGTCAAAGATCGTTTTCGACTTTTTCGACCTCCTCGCTGCCGTCGCAGCACATGGTAAATCTAATGGTCTTGGTGGACGGAAGCTCTCCCGGTATGCCGGATGGTGGGCGTTCGATCATGCGGATACGGGCAACGGCTTCGAGGCAGCTTATAAGAACTGGGCACGGTATGTCACAGATATGATTCAACCGATCATCTATCCTTATAGTGATTCTGATAGCTGACGTCCTGCAGGGCCGCTGATGCGACAAGCCATTTGTTCTTCGCCTATCTGCGATCCTTGTCTCCTGAGTTGCGCGGGGTGAACGCTATTACAACGCTCCCTATCTCACTTCAGACTCTTGTCCAGGCGACGGAATATCCGCCAGAGACGCCCACCCTACTTCAGGTCTCCACCACCAGAGTGGTGATGATTGTCGACACCGTCTCACCAACTCCATTCGCTCTGCTGCGGCGCGCAAAGAATTTCGAATACAGAGACAGCGACCGCCATCTCCAGGAGTTCGCCAGCTTCGAGGAGCCCACCAAAGCACTAACCGACGAGTGTCTACGTGTGCTAAAATGTATCTCTTCCATTAACCAGTCGAGTGCACCAGAGCCAGGATCGGCGACTCGGGAAGCCTCCTGGTCGCGATTTGAGGACTTTGGGTTTGGCGGTGCCCTTGAGTCTGACCTGGATGATGATTCAAGCGCAGCTCGTCTAGCCAGGAACGAATTCGGAGGAGGCTTGAGATCCGCTCCACAGTCCGGCGCAGGTGACTTCGGTCGGCCCACAACTCCATCATGGGCAGACTTCATGTCGTCCGGCTTCGGTGACGAGAACGGCCTGAAGGGCCCGATTGCTCCTTTGCTTCTTCCCCCTGACAAGGTTCTTCCCCCTATCGCAACCGTCAGGGGTCAAAGCTCGCAGTCACACAAGCGCAGTTTGAATGACGAGCCGTCTATGGAACCGGGAGAGCTCGCAAGCATCACCACCCTCGACCTCGATGACTCTTTCTGGTGGGTATGGATCAGTAGTTTGGCTGGGGAGGAGCCCGTGTCCCGAAAGGCCGTTTTTGGCCGGTGTGCATTGCTCGAGACCGTAATTAAAGACACCAAGTGGTTGGTCCTGGAAGAGCAGGTCAAGGGTGCAGCACCAGAGCCAGAACCGGGTGCATACATCGTTGAAAAGAAGCGCTTCTTTGGGTTCTCGACTCGTAAACGCGGTGTTGGACGTCGCAAGTCCTCCGCTAAGAAAGTTAGTGCCGTGGAAGACTCGTACAAGCGGCCGGACAACCAAGCTCCCCAGAGCAAGACCAGTATTGCCCCTGACCAGCATGCCCGCATCCAAGCGGCAGCGGCAGCTCTTCAGAAACGGCATCGCGAGGAACAAGAAGCTGCCAATGGCTCTAAGAACGTCTCTGAGGATGTCAAATACAACACCAAGACGAACTCTGTCATGACGCTACAGCCGTCGATCGTGAACGAAGCGTCTCAGGCTATGAAATGGGCGACCAACTACGATAAAAACACTTACAGAACTGCCTATTTGAGTAACAGCCGTGCAGGAACAGGTGCTCTAGCAGAAGATGCCATGGTGCCGATCGAACAGCCCAGCACCCCAACCTCCCCGACGGCGAGCACCTCTGCTCGACAGGCACCACCACCTTTGCCGAAGGATACACCCTCAAGTTCCCCGAAACCCGCAGTTCCCAGAAAAGAGCTTGCTGCTCAAGAGGAGAATACGGCAAGCAGGGCTGACAGCCCGAGCCTTGCGATGGACTTGCCGACCACTGATACGCCTCCGAAGCAGTCCATGGATTCGGAGGAGTCTGGTCGGAAGATCAAGAAGAAGCCTGGCAACGCCGGTTTCAAGAGTATGTTCGGAACGGTCAAAAAGAAGAACGAGCCTGAACCGAAGCCACCAATGAAACCCACTGGGTCCGCTGTTGCCGCCGCTCGCGCTGCCCTCGAGGACAAAGCAAGAGCCGCCCAAGAGCAGACCATTCGCCCTTCGACGAATGGCAAGCCGACACTGAAGAAGAAGCCTGTGCCCATTACAGTCCCAGTTGAGGCTCCTAAGCCCGCCGAGAGTCCCAAGCCCGCCGAGCCTGCTGTGCAAGAGAAAGCCCCCAAGCCCACTGAGCCCACGGTTTCTTTGGACGCCCTCAAACCCCCTGTTTCCCAAAGCGATGAGCCTCAGATCCGCCGTCAAGCTGAATACGACGCTCTTTCACGCATTGATACCAGGGAACGAGCAGCGGCCGATCAAGAATTCTCCAGGTTTGACCAGGGCCCCCTGGTTGAGCAGCCTGCTTTTGTCCCTAACGACTCTCCTGTTTCCGAACGATTCCCTGAGAAGCCTGCATCGTTTCACTCTGCGACCGATCGGGTCTCCGTTGAGCCACAGGATGAGCCCAGTCCTCCCCCTCAGCCAATAAACACATCCTTTGACCGCTGGGCCCAGATCCGCCAGAACGCCGCGGCGAGAGCAGCTCAGGTAGAGTCGCATGCTGATGATAGCGACGATGACAACACCAGTGAAGAAGAGAGTAAGTGAACTTGGCTTTTGCTTTAAAGCTATAAAAAACATAGCTCTAACATGTGAACTTTTTAGGCTTCGAATCCCGTGCTGCCCGTATCAAGGCCAGAGTCGCTGAATTGACTGGCAACATGCAAGCTGCAAGCAAGCCTTGAAGCTAATAGCCCCAGTTCCGTCTGCTAATTACCTTACTTTCGCTACTGTCGTTTCTGGACATTTCAGTATACTGTCGCTATCACCCATATACCACTGTATTTGACCCCCCAATGCATTTATACGCCATTTAATGTATTTTCACCTACCCCTTCGCGTCCAGGTCCATCCCGCCTGCCATCTTGCTGACTGAGCCTGGACCCATGGCAACAAGGTCTGAAGATATTGCAAGCCGCGCATGACAGACATACGCCGTGATGCCGTTCTACGCACGATTGTCTACTTTTTATTCCCATTTCCGTTCCTCTTGCGCCTGCTGCCTGTCTGTCTCCGTTAAGCGGGGATGTTGGTAGTGGTAGCAAGTTGTCTTCTTAACCAAGTTTGTTTATTACTTTTATTTTTTGCTTTCTTCTTGTTGTTATATTCCCCTCCTTGTTGTGCCTGCTTTAAGTTTAATCTATGCAATTATCGTTGAGTTCGTTGGACTGTTGTTGTGTCTTCTGCAATATATCCAATATACCTCACCCGTCTCTCGCTATGCTATGTATTCAGCCTAGTCGTTGTGAATTGTGATAGCGAACCTGATTGTAGAGATCTGGTTCTTATTGAATTAGTATATATCCCTAGAGTAGCAGATAGAGGCCGCCTGCAAGTCGGACCTATGTCATAGGAGAGTGGGTTAACAATTAACAAAGGTGGTAATAGAAACCGAGATAGGAAGAAAAACAGATAACAGAAACTATATCCATTGAAAATAAATTATCTATTACATGTGCATATATCATCCAAACCATTATCTTATTTTAGCCTCATATCACAGCTCCATACATGCGCACCGACATGCGCATGTATGCACTGTAACAGGGGGTCTCATCATACAGAAACAAAACAAAACAACCATGCATGTCAGTTCACGCCAATCAAACAATGCAGTAAACGTATGGAACCTAGCATGTCATACTTCCTACCGAAGCAGTAGAATAAAGCACGGCAGTCCAAATCCCAACGCATAACGCGCTTGTGTGAGTATCAGGGTATCGAAAGTGTAGAATCGAATGAGATAAAAATAGAACAGAGAAAACCATCATCAAAGTCGTGTAAATGAGACGATTTTCCGCTTTAGAAGAACAGAAGAAACGGTGAGAATGGAATCAAAACCCTCTAGTCATGCTAAAGACCAATAACGGGAACGATAGAGGAACAGAAAGGGCCACATTATAAAGTATATCGCATACGTCGCGTTGCTTCAACAGCGACAATGGCACTCAATGCACCGATGAATAAACAGATGGAAATAGCGTTCGGGGTGCTCTTATCCAGATTCATCCATTGAGAGTCCTGAGCCGAGTCGTCGCGTTTCGTGCTGCCGGGCTCGAGGACACTGAAGACGATCCAGCTGATGAAGGTACCGAGGAACTGCGGGAGGGTAGTGTAGACGTTCAGTACGCCTAGGTAGATGCCGGCGAGTTCGCCGGTGGATGGGATGTTGGAGACGCCGTCTTCGATGTCGCTGTCGCTGTCTGGGTCGTGGTGGTTGAGGCGGAGAACGTCCATTTCTGTGTCGTTGGTTCGGTCACTGTAGGTGGAAGGGCCGCCGGAGAGGAGGCTGGAGGAGGTGATCATTGTTACGCCGGAGGAGCGGGATGATTGGGAGGGGTTCATGGCGAGTTTGTTGATTTCTATGCCCATGAAGGTGAAAGGGGCCCAGCAGGTGACGGCCCAGGGGATGCCACAGAGGGCGACGAGGAAGGTTGCGACAGCGCGGGAGCGGGCGAAAGGTGCGAAGATCATGGTCGCGGCGAACATGACGTGGGAGATCAGCCAGGTTGTTTGGAGATCGGGACGGATGCCCATTACTTTCTTGAGCAGTGAGGCGAGGCCGGGGGGTGGGCGTGGCGTGAATCTGGGTCGTTTGCTGTCTGGCGGTTGGACGCAGAACGGTAGGAGAACGGAGCCGATGAAGGTCATGGAGGAAAAGACGACAAGCGATAAACTGCCCACCCGACCGACTTCTCCAAGCATATCGGCTGGCTGTGTTGCGTCCTTAGGGACCTCGTATCGAAAGTATGTTTCGCCGACCCAGGTGGTGCTGTAAAAGAGGAAGGGGAACCAGCCTGTGGGTTATTCGATTAGTACATCCCTACTTGGAATCTGGCGTCGGAGAGAATATGGCACCGTACCAATCCACGCCCAGAATTGCGCCCAGCAGATGGCCTGAATGCGCGGTGGTAGATCCATGGTGGTCTTGACGAGTTGAGAAATCACCTGTAGCGTCCCAGCCTTGTCATCAGAGTCTCTGTTGGTATGTGTCAGTATATGGCATGGTGTAAAGATTCCGATTTGGATAATTCCTTACCTCGCGGTGACCAGAACCCGCTCCTTGACTGCGTAAGAGGTAACGAAGACAGCGCCAACCAATGACATTGCTGCAATGACCGTCATCTGTTTGAATTGTGTGTCGCCGATTATGGCGCCAAATATGCTGACTGTATCAATGGATCCGATGACATATCCAATGAGCTGGCCAATGGCAGTCATCCGAGTCGCTATATACTCTTAGCTGCTATACTTTGTGGTCAGGGGCAGAAGTGGCATACCCCATGCTGATCCGGTTTGCTGCAATGGAATAGGCAATGTGTCGACAATCAAGCTGCGACAACACGCTTGGACTGCTTTTGAGTTAGATTGGGAATAAAGAAAGATCATAGCGGTGCAGACTGACCAACGTTGATAGCGAAGTCCACAGCGTAGATACTTAGAACTGCAAGCGCGATGGTGACGTTTCTGGCCTGAAGCAAAAGACGATCTCAGTAAGCTCCTGGGTATGAAAAGACGTAAAGGCAATTCGCATGCTACCAAGTACCTTTTCCGCATCCTTTACGAACATATTAACGATCTCAGTAGTCCAACCAAGAACAAGCAGGCACGTTGCGACGACGAACGAGCCGACGATCATGAAGGGCCTGCGTCGGCCCCATTTGGATCGAGATCGGTCAGCAATGACACCAATGAGGGGCTGGATAATCAAGCCAGAAAGAGGGCCGGCGATCCAGACAAGCGAGGTCTTGGATTTGGTGAGGCCCAGTTGGAGCAGGTATGGGGTGCAATCTACATTGCAAGTCAGAAACATTGAGCAAGTGGACAAGAGCCAGCAACGCGCATACAGGTCATTTCAATGCCCCAGGTGAATCTGTCGACAAGAAGCAAGTCAGCCTAATTATGCGCGTACGTAACGATTGCCGTCTTTCGACTGAGAGCAGCTGAAAACATTGTCAAAGAAATGAAAATGAGGGGAAAATACGTACTGTAACCCCAACAAACTAAAGGTCAACAGCACCATGCGCACCCACTCCCTTCGTCCCTTGATAGAGGGTGTGCCCACCCATCTTGCAGCTTGTGGCATTCTCAGAGTTTGAATGCCCGCATGCACTTGGCCCTTTTCACAATTCTTGTATGCTTTCCATGAACCGCGGGGGTTCGCCTCGAATTTGCGCCTGCGATCAGGCCAAAACACGTGCAGGTATAGCTAATCGATCCTCTGTTGGCGTAGATTCGATGCTGGGACGGTACGGAAGCTAAATTGTGAGTTCCGACGCAGGAAGACGAGGTAAATGCGTGATGGGTCGTAGGCAGTCGTCGCACGGTTCGTTGGGGATAAAAATAGCTGCGAGGATGGAACAGGGTCCGCGGTCCGCAAAAGGTCCGATGTCGTTTAGGAAAAGAGCGATATTGGGGCACACGTAGGTTTACGTGTCCGGGGAGAGTGATAAATAACGTTCGAAGCGAAGCAGAGGAGAATGAAGACTGACAAGAAGAAGGGATGGGAAGAAAAGAGGAGGGATGGGCAGACAGACGACAGGCGAGGCCGGGCTGAGCCCACCAAAAGCGTACGCATGCGGGCCCCCGGCCCGTCAGGTACCTCGTCTTATCGGCACCGGCCACGCTGAGACCCACCACCGCGACGGTACTTGTTTATTAATAGCGGGTGGTGTGAACGACCTAAAGCAAGGTCGGGGGATTAAAACAAATCTGAAACTGGGGAAGTATATTGGTTAGATTGTCTTTTCCCAACCTAATTCTACCTTACGAGACCAAAGACACTAAGGCTCAAGGCAAGGGTATCTCCAATAATACAGGTACCGTCTGGCTACGGTCACGCGACTACTTCCAGCTTCCGGTGAAGACAGCGGCGGTCCCAACCGACCGGGGGTGGTTCGTTACGTTCTCTGCATTCGTTTCTAAAAAGGGGTTGCGAATAGATAACTCCAGTTATTGCCCAGCCGACCGATAAATAGTCCCGAGTGCTTCATTTCTGTCATATCATCCCAGATGCCCCGTCATACCATGATTCTCGACCGAAAATCAATCGCATTAACATCTTTTTTTTAGCCTTTTTTGGCAATAATTTTTTTTTCATCCTCATCCGTCATAACCTGCCGACCGCCCTTATTTACAGACGGTTGGGGGTGGAAGTCAAGGGCCACTGGTAGCCAGCAGCATCGCTGAACTTGTAGCCGAAGGACGCGGTGAAGTCATCAAGGACGGCGGGTCCGCGGGAGCCTGCGCGTTGGTCAGTATGTAAGCGATTTAGACAAATTGCAAGAAGTGCACGTACCGTAGGGGTATTCCATGGGGATGATCTCCTTGTTGTCATCCAGGTAGTGCAGGAGAGGGGTGAAGATCCTCCAGCTGGCATCCAGCTCATCGTCACGGACGAAGTTGGAGTGGTCGCCCTTCAGAGCATCCAGGATCAGAGACTCGTAGGCTTCGGGGATCTTGAGGTCGGAGAAGCGGCGGCGGTAGGTGAGGTCGAGCTCAGTCACAACCGTCTGCATGGACAGGCCAGGCAGCTTGGAGTTCATCTTGATGTACACGGACTCGTTGGGCTGGACGCGGATAACGAGCTCGTTGCGAGGGATGTCCTTGAAAATTCCGGAGGTAACGTCACGGAACTGGATACGGATCTCGGTCTTCTGCTCGTTCAAGGCTGCGAATTATTAGTATACCAATCGGTGCTATGATCGCTTGGAAAGAGGTACATACCCTTGCCAGCCTTCATGATGAAAGGAACACCGTCCCACCTCTCGTTCTTGATGTAGGCGACCATAGCGCAGAAGGTGGGGCAGCGGGAATCCTGGGGAACGGTCTCGTCCTCCTTGTAGGCGGGCTTGCTGCCATCCAGAGACTTTCCGTACTGGCCAATAATGACGTTCTTGGGCTCAATGGCGTCCATCGCACGGAGGACACGAACCTGGTTAAGTGTCAGTAACCCAGCACAACCAATAGTCAAGCGCACACTGTACCTTCTCGTCACGGATGTCCTCGGCGGAGAAGGAAATGGGGCGCTCCATAGCGAGCAGCGTCAACACCTGGAGAAGGTCTAGGAGAGATTTTTATCAGCATCATGTCGGAGATGTCGAGCGTGACTTTGAACGTACGGTTCTGCATGACATCACGGATGATGCCGAATTCATCGAAGTAACCACCACGTCCCTCAGTGCCGAAGGGCTCCTTGAATGTGATCTAATGATAGAAGCGACAATTTAGCAAGTAAATCAATAGGCCAATTGGATAGCGCAAGGTCGTACCTGAACGTTATCGATGTGGTGACGGTTCCAGGTGGCGTTGAAGAATTCGTTTCCGAAGCGCATGATAAGGATGTTCTTGACCATCTCCTTACCCAGGTAGTGGTCGATACGGAAGATCTCCTCTTCCTTCCAGTTAGGCTCCAGGGCTTTTTGGAGATCGCGCGAGCTCTGAAGGTCCTTGCCGAAAGGCTTCTCTACCTGTGAAATAGGAAAACAAGCGAGTAAGAATAATGACCAATGGCAGGGTGATACCAGCCCAGGATTGACTCACGATGATACGGGCAACGCCGTTCTTGGGGTAGCAGTTGCGCTTAAGTTGGTCGGAAACGGTGGTGAAAACGCTGGGGGGGAGGGCCATGTAGTAGATTCTGTTCTGCTCCTTCTGGCCCTTCTCAATCTCCTCGAGGTGCTTGTTGAGGTTGATGAACGAGTCATCCTTGTCATATTGACCGGAAATGTAGGTGCAGAACTGGCAGAAGCTGTCCAGCTGCTCTTCGATTTCCTTGGTAGGGGTCTTGATGTATGAGCGCACACGCCTCAGGTACTCCTCATGGTCCATGTTTGTCCGGGCATATCCGACGATCTTGATTCCCTTGGGGAGGAACTTGTTGCGATACTGGAAGCGCAAATCAGCAACCATACTGGTGAGTCAAACTGCAATTGGATCTGGGAGAGGACATACAAGGCCGAAAAGGGCCGGGAACTGTAAAAGGTTAGCTTTCTGTCAGGTCAACATGAATCAGGGGGTCGTCACTGACGGTCTTCTTCTTTGCAAGATCTCCGGAGGCACCCAGTACTATGATGACAGTGTCATCTTTGAGCTCCATGGTGCTACGTAAAACATCCATGTTAGCTAGGCTATAGCTTGACGAATATAATGTCACAGGGATCGGGTGTAGATCGATGATGCAGGTCGGTGCCCGCAGTCCGCTACAGCATGCAGGAGGGGCAGTGAGGGTTGGTGGTGAGTCAGAAGGATAGTCCTTTCGTTAAGCCCGAAGGAGTAATCCTGGTGACGAATTGAAGAATAATGGAAAGCGGGAAGCCTGCCAGTGAATGTTTGGGCGACGGGGCTTGTTATGGAGAGTCGTGGGTGGTGAATCCTCACGTCTGGGCGGCGGGCAGGAGGGACGGGAGTGGGAGGAGGGGTGTGATGTCAGAGAGGGAGACCGCAAAACTCACCCAGCATTCTGGCGTTCCTCAGTGCGTGCTATTGTGCTGGCCATGTTTTACTGATGTGTGAACAACCACGAGATGGGAAGGAAAGGTGAGAGATTCGGTGGAGGAGGGAAGAGGAGGAAATAAAGAGGATACAGGGAGACAGCAAGGACAGAGAGGTTTGTTGGAAAAATCCCAACAGTTCCGGCGGAGCAAGTACTTTTTAAGACCGGAGGGCCTCTCGTCGAGGAGAGGAGCTGCTGGCTGCAGGGTGGGCAAAAGTGAGTGAGCCCGGGTGGGGCAGCTTTGTTACTACTTTGTTACTGGGAAGCCCGGCTTGGGTTCTTCCACTACGTCGATTGCTGCCGCGGGACCCCGTGAGGAGTGAGTAGTAGTTGTTATCCAATTCTATTATTCGGGGTTATTTTACATCACTCAAGACACACTGCCTGCTAGTTTACCTCAACTTATCCAGTATTTCCCTGGTATGATTACTCCGGGAAATGCTTCCTTTTTCATCCCTAGCATTCATCCCCTAAATTGTCAGGTCCTCCGTTCCCACTCATACTGTAGTACTCCTTCTCTCTTTCGGAGCCCGTTGTGGCAACCCATCTCTTATATCATCGCTAGGTAACGCGATGAGTCTTACTCTACTATCTACCACTTGAGACAATCTAGATATCTCTAAATCAGTGCTTACGATGAAGCATCCTCCACTCGACTTACTCTATCTGTCTTTCAGAAGCATGATCGTTTGAACTAACAGCCCTTTCTTTTCTAGACGGACTGATTTATCCGAGCCAGGTCCGCTGTAAATCTCCTCCCAGCTCCACTGAGAACCACACATGGAACGGATGATGCCCATCTTAAGGTACACCTTACTGTTGCATGCGGAACCCCCCGCGTCAACTTATCCCAGTAATATTAACCCTCCGACCCTGATCTGACAGTTTTATCCTCTGGAATTAAAACAAAGGAAAGCCGCAAATGCAGAGGTGCCGAGTTTCTTGCGGTCTGACGCTGTACTACATTGGTTATATGCGCGGGGCACGCGCACCTCGAGTTTACTGGCAATTGTGGAGCAGCCCCCAGCCCATTCATGCAGGTAGGTCAGCTCAGGACCTGGCTTCTTTGTGATAACGATAGTTCCATGCATTCCGGTCATAGCACCCTTTCTATTAGAATTTAGATCACCGTCCAAAGTTGGCTCCGTAAGTAATGCAGTGTCAATCTACTTAGCACCTATCCACTTTTAGCTACAGTAGGTGAAGCAGAGCACCGTTGCGCCCATTTTCAGGGTGACCCAGAACAAGATCTCATAATGGAGCGATTTCGGACTATTCCAAAGGATGAATAGCAGCGATCGCGCCAGAACAATCACACCAGTCTAGTGGAAGACTCCTGAATGCGCGTCTCCGGTGACCAGCTTCGTGGGGTTGGATCGGCCAATTTGTCATCTGGAAAGGACGATACGGATTCTATTTTCCCGTGGCATAAGCGCAGCGACCATGTATCAAACCGAACTTTCGGCCCAGTCAAGTCCGGAGTTAACGGGTGCGATCCCGAAACGGGGGGGGCTGGAGTATCTACGGAGTATTGTTCTCAGCCTGCACTGCCTATTGTTGCTTATTCCCACGACACCAGAGCCCTCGTATCGATGGCACTTTTACTGTCGTCACCAATTTCCCCAGTACCGCTCCATCAAAATTTACCCCCTCTTTCGTGAAAGAACTGAGGCATTGATGGTATTGCGTGCTTCTATGGGGGTCCCCCTCAGGAGAGAAACATCATGTCAGGTTCGCTGCCGACTTCCTGGTGGGGCTGGAGGGGACGCTTGATTTCCAAATATGTATCCCGGTCTGATCGCTTCTGGAGGAGTCATCCTCCCCCGTTATATACATCCGGTCATACACCCGTACAACTCTGCTGCACTACCCTGTAAGAGGTAGTTTAAGCGCCATGCTGTCATGCAGCTACTTCACGCTTACTCGAAGGTCACAAGATAAACTCCTTGTCCATTAATCCGGGAGCTCCTGCAACAATCCGCCACTCCGGCGATAGGAAGCCAATCCCTTATCAAGATCAAGGGTGATGGGGCAGTTGCCGTCATGGGTGGAAAGAAATCCGCAAGCTGTTTTGTCAGCTTGGGGCGCTCTAGCCAAAAGCTCTCTCCGCCGCTGCAGAGGGGACCGGCGGGTAGCCAGGAGTCTTCGGACTACAGTAGCCCGGACGGCAAAATTGGCCAGGTGGGGTGGGTTGGATGGAGGAGCCCCAAAGGTCTCAATCGATGATGATCTATCTCGGATTTCTGGAGAAGCTATTAATCCGGTGCAGACCCCAAGACGGTTTAGTGTCCCGTAGGCGGTCTGCAACTCTTCCCCATCACGGGACTTCGGCTTGCCCTGGGGTGGTCCGGCTCGCTAAGCGTCCCGTTTGGGGTTAGGGCGAGCCGCACCGAACACACCTCGCAATTTGTGAGCCTTGTGCGTTGTCCCGTTACCCTATCGAAGCGACGACAACCACGACAACCCGGACGACTTTTGCGGGTCATACCTCCCTTCCTTCGACTTGTTTGCGTTGCCCGCTGCTGCTCAGAGAAACGCCGTCAGAATGCCTTCGGAACAAGGTCACAGACGTGAGTGCCATCATTTTCCGGATATCAGACATGTGTGCGCGATGGTTGGAATATGGGGATGCCGGAGGATAGATGGGAATTTGCGGGCGCAACCTGGGCGAAGTGCTGAATGAAATGCTAACTCGAGATTTTTGCGAAATATAGTCTATGTCAAGTAAGTTTACCACAAACCGTCCGCCGTCGAATCCGCGCACATTCCGGATATGAATATCAAAAATATCAAAATACATGTCGGGACATCAGAGATACGGGCCAAGCGAAGGAATGCAACGAGAACAGACCGGTTAATACGAATTCTTTCTACAGGGGTCGCCACGTGAGCTACCAGCGCTCCAAGCGTACCGTCAACCCCAACACCAGGTACTTGCGATCCGCACCGATATCGATATAGAGGAACAAGGGAATCTGACACATGGGTTATCTAGTCTGATCAAGATCGACGGTGTTGAGAGCACCGAGGCCGCAAAGTGAGTAGCGAACGGGTTCGGAATGGGAATATCAGAACACACAGCTAAGACGACATTCTTTTACAGCTTCTACCTGGGCAAGAAGGTTGCTTTCGTCTACCGGGCCAAGCGTGAGGTCCGGGGCTCCAACATCCGGGTCATCTGGGGCAAGGTTACCCGTCCCCACGGTATGTGATGCTCAGCTCCAATGCGCGATGATTACGATGGAATATTTCAATACTATCGGTGATTGTTGGAACCGAGAACGGCGGGAAACTAACGATATTTCCTCATGAACAGGTAACTCCGGTGTTGTCCGTGCTCAGTTCCGCCACAACCTCCCCCCCAAGACCTTCGGTGCTACCGTCCGTGTTATGCTGTACCCCTCCAACATCTAAATGACGCCCCTTTTGTTACGTTAGTTGGCAACTCCGGATTCTACGCGCAGACGGTCGGGCAAGGAGTCGACGGAATGAGCCGAATGTTGAGATGGAGTTGGCGGGTTGATAATGTTCGTGGGAGAGGCAGGGCCGGTCAGCCCTACGAATTAAAATAAAAGAACTCTTATCTTCTTTTTTTCAGCATGGTTATTGTCAGCCCTTTTTCCCCTAGGCAGCGGACGAGCTTGATATCCCTGGTTTTATTCTCATTAAACCGGCCAAGCATGCTGTGCCTTTGGGCCGACAACATGGCTCCCCGTGTATCTGATGCTCATAAACCACAATCCATACCATTTCAACATATCGGTACAATTGCTTCTTTTCCGAGGTAGTGCGTGCGAGGTGGATAGTTCAGTGGCCAATTTTTCTAAATTTGGCTTTCAAGCCGACAATCAGCGACATCTTACCCAAAGCGACAATTGCAACAACGAATCCAGTCCATTCCCAAGACTCGTTACATTAAACATATGGACACTATCGGCACTTGACTTCGACATTGTCTCTGCCAATATGATTCCGGCTAGTGCTAGCGCTGTAACAATCATGCTCGATATTTTGATTATCAAATAGCCAACGACCAACTACCATACGTAATAAGCATCAGATCTACGGAGTATGAATACCCACACCTGTCATTGTAGACCCCACTCAAGGTTGATAGAGATGGTGACTGCTATGGAGTGCTATGCGTCATTGTTTCAGTTACCACAAGAGTATATTGTATATCGGAATATATGTATGATATTAATATTCAATTATCACAGTAATACTCTGAGGACACTTCTCTATTTCGATGATAATTATATGCCTCTAGACCTCATGGAATGCTATACCATCTCCGGAAATATGGGTTACTATTCTAATATTTATCTTTCCGGCTTTAGATACAAGATGTTTGAAATTGGACTTTGGGCCTCAGGCAGTACTTGGGCAATAATCAGACCTCCATTGTATCATAAGAATATTTGACAAGCGACGCAATTTTCTCATCGGTGAATGTTCCAAACAGGACTTGTATATACTAGCAGATATTAATGATACAGAAAGTCAGCCTTGGGGTGGAATGTATTTTCATCACATGAGGATAGACTTACCAATGAGACATGTTACAGGTTACATAAATCCAGATAAATCAACCATTACTAGCCATGGATACACCTCTTCGTCCTCAGGAAATGAATGAGTTGCTCCACGTTCTTCAAGCGGCTGCGTTATATTTAACTAAGTAGATAGTACGACCAAATACTCCATGAGTTGCTGATAGACAATTCCCATTGTTGTTAAAGGTAGTACTTACTTTTCGATGGTATGGTAGAGGGTGTAGTACTGTTATAATTGAATTGTACAGTATAGATTCACTGTTTCAGTATTCATCATTTGCTACATTAGCGTTTTTATGAATTCATTTTCAACTTCTAGACAGCATTGATTTTGTGGATGAAACGGATACCACTATAGTGATGATATATATACTACAACAAATGGGCAGCTTGAAAAGTGAACGAATGCGACATGATGTAGAACGAAAATTCTTGCAAGGGCAAAAGTTTATTGACAACTGTTTGTATGTATAGTAGATTGAATAATGCAAGTGCAAATTTCTAGTTGTTTGGTGTTACTGATTAATGTGAACATGGCGTAGATTGGGATTGAATTCTGGCGTAGGATATCTGCAGGTATCCAGGTAAAGTCAATACTTACCATGTATTACAAAGGCAGAGATAATAGAAGTAACTGTGCCAATTAGCAGATGGAAAAGGCCCTTAGAAAGCCTGTAGTTGCGAGTGAAGATTGCGTTATAGTTGAATAGCAGGCCAAGACTCGTGCTGGATTAAATGGTTTTTGGCATTTCTGCATTTAGAAAGTATATGGCTTGGCTGATCTCGAAAGAGTCTAGCCTAGAACTGCACTCAGACTGGGGCATGTCACAAAGTGCATTATTTGGAGTCAAAAGTAATGGTGAAACAGCGATCTCATGCTAATTGATCAGATAACGCTAATCTGGCTGGGATGGCTGACATCCATGCAAGTACTTGAACAATCTCTCTCAATGAGGTCCACTGTAGATTCTTAGCATGTCAGGCATGTCGATAGCATTCTCATGTCAGAGTTTGATGTCTGTGATTGGTCTGATCAAACCATTGAAGTTATTTTGACTCGTGCGGGAATGCACCCACCCTACGATAGTATATATTGAAATTCTGTCACCTCGACATCTCAACAAATGGACGCCACAGTACGCCTCTGGGTCCATGTATATGATATCAAATGCTTAGCACTAAAAGACGTGAGCTATTCCCGCAGTTCGATGAGTAAGGCTGAAGGAGGGGAGTTCTGGAAGGGCGAATTCCTTGCATGGAGTTTCTGTCACGATCCCGAATTAACAGTAATTAAAGTAGGCGCCATCCCCGCCCCCAATGACCCACTTACAAGAACTGATGGGGATCGACAGATCGCCTCGGCCGGAATGATAAAATTCTTACATAGTATGGAGTAGACTGTAGGTTACTAAGAGGTTGGCTTACAGGTTGCTTGCACTTGCGCGAGGTTGAGCCAAGATCCTCCTTTGTGTATTGTTCCTTGCTGGATGCACCTTACTTGATCGCAACGTGTGCGACTGTAAGTCGGTTAAATGATTCCAGAAACATCCAAGCGCGTATGCATTGATCTTCTTAATTTCGGGGATGCATAGGCTATTTTTAATTCCTGTAAGTCTGCAGGCCTAAGTATGAGCCTGCCAGGTGTGCAGAGCCAAGAGCGACTGCCAACCTGAAAAGGGCGGTTAGTTGTCTCAGTGCGAGAGAAAGTCTGGCGGGCTGAGTGGATGGGATTGGACTGGAAGGACCGCCGTAGTCAGACATGTAACGCCGCCGCTCACCAGAGTGGAGGGGCAATTGAGACAGGCAGACATATTCCAGGTTTCATTCTGCGGTGATGGTGGGCCAATTGGAAGGCCACGGATAGCAAAAGGTGTGTTTCCCTGGTGCAACTAGAGAGAATCTGGATAAAGATTTCAAGTCGGTGATATGCCACTGTCTCGGTAGGTGAGATCCAAAGTCGTATTCTCTCGTATCTGGCCGTACCGGCCAATCTTACCACTAACTAAACCATTTTGGTGTATCCCGAGTAAAAATAGGGAAACAACGGCCGGGATAATCCACCCGGAAGTTGAAAGATAGTCAAGATAGTAAAAAAAAGTATCAGAATTGCGGAGTGGCTTGCCTGGGCTGCCTGGCCCATTTTTGGGTATGGATGATGTCGACGGCAGCCGATCTGTGTGATGGGCTGAAGTCTGATTGATTTTCTTCCGATTGTGCAAGCAGGACGATCAGACGGGAAGAGATGGCTGGTGACATGGGATTTGCGACAGCACATCCTGGTCGACAAGTCATCGCAGTCATCGCACACACACAACTCCCATGCTTTTTCTTAGTACTGAAATATTTTTGCCTACTTTTTTTCTAATTTTTATTATTTTTTCTGTTCTGTTCTTCACTTATGTTTCCTTTTCCTTTTGGGTATGGTGCCTGAGACGGTGACAGATGGTCCATGGAAAGGAAGCCAACCAGAAAGGGTTCGCTGGGTGGCTGGGCCATCCGATAGTCAATGATTGGCCAGCAGGCAACGAGAAGAGGGGAAAGCTGCGTAACACTATCGGTATTTTTATGCACTTGGTCTTTTATTCTTTTTGTGTTCACCAGCCAAGATACGGTAACGAGGGTAATTCTATTTCCAGTCGAGCTGGTGCTGAATTTACTTTTCCCGCTGCTTTGAACTTGGTGGGGAATTATTGGGCATGACAGCAGAAGATGTTTTGTAGAAATGAATGTGTACTAGTATCTTGTCACTTGCTTCTTGTGCATGTGCCTGGTGGTGAAAGAGGAATTGACTTCCAGGAGAGAGAGAGACGGGAGGATGAAAGGTGAAAGAGAAAAAAAGGAAAGTTCCATGGGAAGAGGATCTCCGGACAGTGAACGGGCAAATATCAGGGAAAGTTTCCAGGCATCCGGTGATCGTCTAGATTCTTCTGGCCGAGTGGCTCTTGAGTATAACGCCATCGTCCAACCCGAGCTGATAGGACGAGTTGCAATTGCCCATCCATCGGTTCGAACAAGCGTTCCCCTCTTCATTGCGTGGCGCCTGTCGTCAATACCACCAGCCCGTACAAGTCAAAAGGCCTCAATGGCCCTCCCCGATTCCTTCTAGTACTGTTAGTTGTTGGTTTCGACTGCCGCTTGCTTCTCTTTTTCACACGCTCGTTTGTACTTTCTCCTCTTCCATCTGCACGGTCGACTGGAGTGGTACTTTCTTGCTTGCTGGCTTCCTACTTCTCATCTCCATCTCCATCTTTCCTACATAGTACCTACATTCTTCCCTACTAACCTACTGTCTTGGCATCTCTAGCTTGAGGCTATCGCATCTCATTTACTGTCGATCACTTTGAGCTCGCTGCGGATGGACCACCTTTTTGCAGTCACTATCGCTTAACATACGGACGCTCTGGTCGGTCGACTTGGATCGCACGATACACTCCTACAAATAGCCGTGCTTCAAGCCTGCCACTCTTCCCCACCGTCGGTGTCACCTTGATTATTCTTTCAAACGGCGTGACTCTTTGTGTGTAGAGACAAATTGCGGCGTTGATACTTCTTCCAACTTTGGGCGACATTTTCCACACTTTTCAGTGCTTTAGACTTTCCCCAGATTATTGGGACAGACATCAGACATCCGAGTGAATATCCGCTCGTGGATCCATCAAAAAAGCAGTACCCCCACGTTGCCTGCGCTGCTTAGTTTCGTTGGCTGCCTCCTGGCTGCATTCTGAAACCACGCTCCAAAAAGCCCGAGAATCAATCGCGCGCGATCATCATACATTCCTTGGCGGTTCCCACACCGGATCGTGCTTGCGCTCCACAACGGGCGCCATAGCTTAGACAGCGTCCTGCGAAAACCTGCTCCAGCTGTTGGTTATCAGGCGCTAAGGTCGACGGGGTGATAAATAAAATGGCGACCTCCCAGCCGGCCGCGCCTCCTGGCAGGCAGTCTCGTGGCTTCAGTTTCGGTGCAAAGTCGGATCGATCGCAACGGTCCAGCAATTCCAGCAAAAGGCCCCAGATATCGGAAACCTCCGACGAGAAACATCGCCGCCAACTACATTCCAAAGCCGATCCCATGGTTGCTATGAGCGAAGCGCAACCTAGTACGTATCCGGAACACTCCCCCTTATCTCTCTGCCCATTGCACTCCTGGATTTCGGCCTGCTATAACAAATCAGCCCAATCCTTCCATTCCCACTATGCTTCCTCCGATTCGCAACATATACTTCCCACAAGCATACAAACTGACTCGTTTCCCTAGATTTGGTTGCTCTCGAGCAGTCGACGCTGGGTTCGTTACGGACCATGCAGCATAAAGATCAGTATGGCAATATTATCAGTTCGTCTACCATGCTTCCTTGATCGGACATACATCCTTGGTGACATCTTGCTGATTGCTCTCTTCTTTTCTCACAGCTGATCCCGATCTCTCTAACCCCACGCGCCCGCGGTTTGAGCGTCCGCTTGAAACCATTCGATCTTTTGAGGCAGCAATTTATGGGACATACAGCAGTAGGCCTGCTTCGTATGTAAGGACGGGTGAGTCACCCCTTACTCCGGTTTGCTCGACCCGGCGGTTGATTGACGATGCATCGCAGAATCGACTCCTGCGACTCCAGGGCCAGAACACAGTCGGCGGGGAAGCTACTTTGGAGGTATTTCTCCTCAATCCCACGAGCATTGCGCCTTGGCATACAGTCGCAATGTCCATTGTTACATTCGGGGGAGGTCATTTTGCTAACTTGAAGGATTGGTATAGCTCAAAACGGCCATGCGCAGCGGGGTCATTACGACCAGGGCGGCCATTACAATGGTCGCGGGGCCTATTCGCGACCGGACAGCTATGTCGAGAATGGTAACGGCCAGTCCGACAACTATTACCCCTACAATCAGGGCGGCGGCCGACCGCGACCACGCCACCATGCACGGATGAACACCGACCAAAGTGGATATTCCCAACATGGCTATCACAAATCATATGACAACATGACCGCAGCGTCTGGCTCGGGCTCTGGCAGCAACACCGACGCTTACGGCAACTCTACCGACCCCAGCTCTGTGAACAGCTCTATTGATCAGTTCCAACAACAGCAACAGCAGCAGCAGCAGCAGCAGATGGCAGAAAGCTATGGGTTCCAAGGATTCGGTGCCGGGCCGAACCTGAACGGACAGGCTGGCGCTGGGGGACGGATCAACTTTGGCAGCAAGCCGCCAGCGGCTGACCCTAATGCCGGTGGCCCTGTTGGCGGCGGTGCCGCCGCTGCAGCCACAGCCAACCGGCGCCATCTCCGCAAGGCTACGAATGATTCTGAAATGAGCAACGACTCGAAGAAAAAGGGCTGGTTTAAGCGTCGATTCAGCAAGAACTAGTAGTCTGTGAGCCGGCTCCTCACATATCTTACCTTACTTACTATTCGATGTGTGTTTTCTGATCCAATTTGTCTGGGTGTACTACCTCCGCGGCGTTCAAGAGTCATGTTCAAGCACAGCAACTGGGATTTCGGGACGGACTGTGTCGGGTTTGGATTCGATTGCACTTTTATTTTACTCTTTTCAACTTTGCATGCGGTTGACGAGACCATGATACATGGATGCTTTTTGTTCCTTCTTACCTTTTCTTTTCCTGCCATGACAGTGCATGGAGTACTAGCCAGTATGATGTTGACTGATACGGGTGAAACTATGAGTAATGGTAGGGTAGTATAACTAGACCAGGGTGAAGAATACCTTCAACTTTGCTGTCAGATACCGAATAGATACTCAGTACTGACCACTGTATATCGGTCATACTAGTCAATCATGAACGCCCAAGTTATCAAGTACAGCCAGCCCCGCATAATAGAAGAACCAAAAAGATTTACTACCTCTAGCAATCAGTACCATGAAACAAAACAACAGGGAATCTCAAATCAAGCGCAACAACAATAACAATAGAACACCCCTCCTCCACCCCATTACACTCCTCATCTCATCCTTTCACCCCTAACCAAGCATCCGTTCACTTATCCATCCAATCCCAGAACAGAAATAATCTACTTCCTCCCAAACAACTTGTGCTTCAACTTATCCGCCAAACCCTCATGCGCGGGTCCCTTATGATGCTTCTTCTCCTCTTTCTCCTTCTTATGTTCTTCGTCAAGGTGCACATTGCCTTGGCCACCGCGCTGTTAACAATCACCCATTAGCCACCACCTTCCTAGAAACACAGATAGATAGATAGATAAGGGGGAAAGTGCAACAAACCCCAGTATGATAATCCCCATCAACAGACTGCCGAATCGCCAGCTCGGGAATCATCTCCGCGTCGTGCGGGATTTTGGATGTTGGTCGCACGTGCGGAGAGCCGATGTTGCCGGCGCCGCCTCTCTTTACATTCAATTAGTCAATATAGTGCTTGATGATGTGCTCGGGGGTGTGGAGGAGAGGGTAGGTAGTGGAATGGACAGGTGTAGGGTGGGATGGCTTACGCCGGCTGAATAGGCGCCGTCGCCTTGGTCACCGTAGACTCCTTCGCGGACTATGCCGCCGTCGACGTATCTTCATACCCCATGTGTATTAGTATTTGGATATTTGTGGGAGTGAATGGGTATAGTACTCAGTGGAGTCGGCGCCAATGTTTCCTTGGCCTGTTTGTTTTGGGAGTGAATGTTAATAGATTTGATTAATTTGTACGGAGTAGGGGATTGTTGAATGGGACTTAGGTAGTAGAAGGAAGACGTACCTCCACGGCCGTGCGACACAATAGGTTCGTGTTCGCCCATGGTGCAGTAATTGGGGTGGTTCTGGTGCAAGTGGTGTTTACTATTGAATCGGTGTATTGATTCAATGCGATGATAAGAGTGCTGTGATTAGGAGTCTGCGACGAGCGTGCGCGTAGTAAGTCAAGTCTGACAATAAGTTGCAGAAGAGAAAGAGCGCAAAGTGGCGGTTCCCGGGGATGGTTCGTATAGATATATTATGTACCACAGGGGTAGTAGGGTGTAGCGTGACTGCCTTAGCGCTTTTCTTGGGGCGCGATCACTGCCACAGCGGGCCAAGCCAGAGGGTGCGCCCTGGAAGCCAAAGTTAAATTGGGCGCAAGTTCTAGTCTACTAGTAGATAATTCAGTGAATATTATCGGGATAAATCTAGATGATTGTTATCGAAGGAACCAAAAGAAGGAAACGATCGGGACGGCGTCCGATGACGTCGACGCGCTGATAAGATGCTTGTCCGGATTGGTCCGAGGCGTGACTAACGACTTTGGGGCCCGCCAATTGTTACTAAGGAATGAGTAACTTCATGTTATCTCTACCAGTTGTAGTTATCAGTTCAGCTGCTTTTATCACCGGCCTCGGCTCAGGGGTTCAATCAAATGTGGTTCATGAAAAGACAAAGGGAGTTCATCATTGCACAAAAAACACTAAATTTTCCTCACTCGAATATGAAGAAAGCCAGAGACGAAATCAGGCACGGTACTACCCCACCCTCCCCGCCTGCATACTACTGCCACCACAATGTATTCTACATTCTACAGAGTAATCGACCCTCCTTGTCAGGCAAGGATCTAAGCTCTCGGCGGCACAATCGTCTCCAGATTACTTCTTCTCTGCAGGAGGACCACCGCCAGTCGTGGGAAGACCCATGAAGATCTTGAACGAATCATAACTGCAAAACGTCAGCCGCTATTGATCGAGAGGGGTATACTGGAGATCTGAAGTAACACATACATCATCCACTGCAGTCCGGTCTAGAGGGGAGAGCAAGTTAGCTATCATCTGAAGGACAGATACCGATACACTTACCAAGGTGCCGATCATGACGATACGGACGGGAAGGCCGTTCCAGAGACCCCCGAAGCCAATGTCCTTGTAGATCCGGCTCATCGCTGCTCCAAATGCCTCTCCAGCCTGGCGGTTCGCATTCAACTTACTGACCATGACATCCGCTGGGTGCGATACGACGGCGCAAAGGATACCTGCCAGGTAACCACCGGTGAAGGCAACAGCGGTCTGCGCGCCCTTGTTGTAGTCAGACTTTTGACCCGGAAGGGTGTTGTAAATCATCTCGACAATTGTTTCGAAAGACGCAAACTTCATCATGGTGTACGGAATCTGTCGACCCCAGAGAGGGTAAAGACCCTTGTACAGACTGCTGCAGTCAGCTACCAGGCATTGGCGGCTTGCATTAGCAGCACTTACCCAGCCACACCTTCCTTGTTAACAACGCTAGAGATACCCGTGAAGGTTGATCGAATATCAGGTGGAATAGTCGTCTGCATGCGCACCTTGACGGCCTCGAACGGACACAGGGCGACATCAGCGATAAGCTCCGCCGACGCACTGGCGGTCAAGTACAGAGATGTCTTCCACCGAGCCGCGTTCTCAACTCCGACAAGATCACTGTAGAACTTCTTGAAGAACTCATAGCCACCATATTTGAACGCTCCTTGGGCCTTGGGTCCAATTAGTCTATGCGGCGCATACGGTTCGGTCTTGACTTACACTATATCCAAAGAAAGTTGGACCCCAACCGGTGAAAACTCCTCGGAGACCCTCTGCACCGCGAATTGTACGGAATGCCTCTGCATTACTCTTGTACAGCAGAGGATCGACCTGACGACGGCATTTGATCAAATCCAGAGGCGTCACAGCGGTATGGGTGAGACCCTAGGATCAGCCAAGACATTAGTATGCAGAAGTCGCTATACAGCGCTCGTTAGCAGAATGGAACATTCACTTACGCAAGCAAGCATTCCTCCAACCGTGCAAGCCGCATAGTACTTGGGAGTCCATGGCTCGATCTTGCCGGTTTTGGCTTGAGCTTTCTGGCTTGCAACATCGAACTCTCGGCTCGCTTCTTTAGCGATCGCATCGGCCTTCTTTTCGATGTCCTCGATAACGTTCCAGGCGGGGAACGGCTGGCGTCTCTTCAAGCCCGCAGCTTCCGGCTGTTGGATCTGCTGAGGTTGGCCCAGAGGGCTTTGGGAAGCAAAGGCGCGAGCGATATCCCCTTCAGAAGGAAACATGTTGGGCGCTTCTACCTAGAATTGTTATGATTTGTGTTATATTGTTTCAATTAGGATGCGATAAAGCATAATGGCGATATTGCATCGCGATAGTTCCTTATCTATACAAGCGGGTCCACTTACAACACTATATCGGCAGTATAGTCTGACGGATGTGACGTATATAACGGACGTCCACACCTAGTCTCGTCTTCTTCGATTGAAGAAATCGGCGCAGAATTCAGAAGGCAGCCTGAATCCAACAAGAAGCGATATTCTAGAGAAAGGGAGGGAAGGAACCTTCTGAGTGGTATCTGACAGTTAATGATGGTGCCGCTGACGTCGCGTGATGGCACTAACCGCTTTCGGGAATCCCGTCAACTGGTTGATCTGAAGCGATGAAATTTAATCTGATTGGAGCAACCTCATCCTGTGCTTCATGCTTTTTGGGTATAACTCAGTACTTCGGCTCTCTATTCCTTTGAAACACTTGCTTTTTGCGAAAAGTAGTTTCTAATCTACCGAGTGCAACCCTCGAAAGCTATCTCGACTACTTCAAGGGTCCCCAATTGACCGTTCTCTCGGAACCTTCCCTCCCGTGCCCCTCATCGAGTCACTGCGGGTTGAGTTGATCACCAATACTACTACCACCACCCTCACCAACACAAACCCCCACATCAACCCAGACAACATGGCCTCCTACATGAACGCCAGTGAGGCGCTGACCCAGCAACAACTCGCTCAAAATGCAGAGCAGCCCATCGCTCAGTCCGCATGGGCAAACAAATACCGCGGGGTGAGTCCTCTGCCCTCTTCTCCCCAATCGGTATTCCGCAAGAGTCAACAGGAACAAAATAACTAACACTCACCGGCATATTAGGCAACAGTAGAGGATCTGGACCCCAACCCAGCCCTATCTGTTTCTCCCGATGACCTGATCTCCACCGCCATGATGGCCGCCTACGAACGCGATTACACACACCTGACCGTTACTTCCTCAACGAAACGTTCTCTGGTCGGATACCTGAGCATCCCCCGACTAAAGGAGCTGCTCAAGGAGGGCGCTGTCAAGGAGACCGACCCTGTTTCTGCTGCCATGCAGCGATTCAACCGCAAGAAGGGTACATACCAGGTTATCACGATGGAGACGCCGCTGGAGGAGCTGGAGCAGTTCTTTGAGAGTGAGACTGGTCCTAACGGGGAGAAGAGGGCTAAGCAGGATTTCGCCGTGGTTACGGACGTTTCGCGCAAGTTCGTGTTGGGTGTTGCGACAAAGGCGGATTTGGCTGAGTTTGTGAAGCGGAGACCGGCTTAAGTGGTTGCATAATTGCATATTATGGATTTTTGGGCTTCTTTTTCTGTTGATAATTTGCATTATATAATGGAATGTTCGCTCTGGATATGCTGCTGTTGTTGTGTGTGTGCATTTGGCAGCGCATCTTTAAGTGAACCAATACATCATTCTCCCTGGGAGTTCGTTATAGCTTTTATATCCAGACTATCAGGGAACAAATTGGCGGCTTTCACTGTGTATTATCCGCCTTATTGTTGACATAGTATGCCATTAGATGACCGTAACAAACCACACATTTAGTAAACTGTAAGGTATCAGAACACGTACAGAATTCCCCTAAATCATTACATACATACATACTAGTATCCCGACATAGCTTCCACAAAAAAAGATGCGACAAGTACATACTTAGCATGCGAAATCAGAGCGATCCATGAACGCCATTTCTGCAATACAGGCCCCTGGAGCCGAACACGAAAGTAAATGGAAAACAACAAAGACAACAAGACAGTGTGGCTGTACCTCACTGTGCTTTTTTCTCCTTGTACTTAGCGTCAGCTTCCCTCTCCGCCTGATCATCCTTCCACGCAACATAGATGTACGCGAAGAGAACTACGTTCGCCATGATGGCAGCCACGATACCGCCGACTGTGGCGCTTGCTGCTCAGATGTGTCATTTAATATAAGAACATTAGTAATGGGGGGTTGTTTGGATGAGATTCTCACCTCCAAAGTCCACTGTAACAAAGTACATTCCGATAGGAATGACGACCATGGCGACGGAGAATCCGAGAAGTTTCATGATTACATTTCTGGAAGTGATGTGTTAGTCAGAGTTAGGGAGGGGGCGTATGTGCGTGATATGTATTGATAAGGTGTATGCGTTCGTTGGGCTGAACCCGGTAGTTCAGGATAGCCGCCATGTGGCCTAGTGTTCGTTGGTAGGGGACGAATGAGATGCACCTACGTGGGAACGGCAGGGGTCACATCTGAGTCAGAGGGCTTTGGAGAGCCCGAAGACGCGACAACATCCTTGGGAGACGGAGATTTCGGTGCGGAGCGACGAGTGGCCATGTTGATGATCGTAGTGGTTGTGGTGGTGATGGTGCCGGACAGGATTGATGTTGGGTGTTGGTTTTCCGGGGACTAATGCGTGAAAGCCGGAGGATGATCGACAAAAAGGGATCAGGATATAATTGGTGATGACAAGTACAGCTTCTTCTATCCTATTTAAAGAGGATACTATCCTCTCGAGTACACTGTTTGTCTGGATGGGATCTTGAAATACTAGAGACATGGATTGTTTTATACAGCGGATGATTTCATTCCGGAGTCCAGGCCATACCGGCCTCTGATTGGTCCATTTGTAAGAGGGGACATCTGGCTGCGTTTCTAGTGACAAAAGAAAGGCAAAGACGCTGGAAAGAGGATCGCCTTAGTGAAGAGACCAGCCTTGCACCGGTGAATCATATAAAGAGGGAGCTCTGATCCCCCCGATCCAGAGGGGGTTGCTCCAACTGCCATCCTCGGCTTTAATTGAAGCGCCAGACCACGTGACCCCAGCGCGTCCCGGGCGCGTTTTGCGGAGAAAATCCCAGGCGGTCGATTTATCGTTTCGCCTCGAGAGGATCCGATCGATCTTGACATCTTCCTTTCAAGTCCCCCAATTCGGTTCTCCCTTTGGCTCTTGCCCCGGGGCATGACGCCATCCTCTCGTCTGCCTTTCTTCCTTTGATAATCTTGAGTCACCGATCATGGAGGAGACCGTCCCCGATACCCCAGTGAGCGACAAGAAGGTCGTTCACAGTACCCCAACCAAGGATGATACAGCAGAATATGAGACGGTTGCCACCGTTCCTGTCAGCCATCTCCAGCCACTCGCAACTCAATCCTTGACCCCTGCCACCCAGCGCTACACTCAGCCCACGCAAGTGTTGGACGTCCCATACTCCGCAAAGAACAATTCCTTCGTTCAGGTCGCTGCATCCTCGCCTCCAGGTCCGAATTCCTCCCCCTCTCGCCCTACTCCGAGCGGCGGTCGTCTTTCCAGTGCCATGGCCCCGGCTGGCACCAGCTTTCGCCCTCCTGCCGGTCCGGCTAAGCGTGCGCCCATAATAGACCTTGAGGATGACGGCCCGACTTATCGCGGCGGCTCATCCGATGATGACGATCGAGCGTCGAGAAGCATAGATATTAAACCCTCTTTGTTCGCCAAATCGTCGCGCAGCCCTGAAAAGGTTGCAGAGTCCCCGATGGATCGATTCAAGCAGATCACTACCTCCGCGGTCTTCAACCCCTCCAGTGCGAAGCGCCCGGCAGCTCAAATGGACCCCACACCGAGAGGCATGGCCGTAAAGAAAGTTCGACAGGAGGGCCCCTCGCGTGCCCAGCCCGTGGGTACGAATATCTCTTCGCTGCAGGACATTGATGACTATCAGGTCAGAGTTAAGGTGGAGAGGATGTTGAAGGTCATGCCGCAGAAGTCTGTGCACGCATGCATGCAGGCGCTTCTCTCAAAACGTGGGAATTATGAGGCTGCTCTGGAGCACCTGGCAGATACGGACAAGGCTGATTCGTCCGAGGACGAGCTGATTACGAGCAAGCGGGCCTCCCCTGTTGCGCCCGCAAAGCAGCAGATTAAGGCGCGCGGAACTATTCAGGACAAATGGTCTGCCATGAACATGCAGAGGACATTGTCGGCCCAGAAGCAGCAACCGCAACCGTCACAACCGTCGGAAGAGGACGCGAAACCGCGCAGGCGCTTGATGAGGGGACCCAAATCCAGGGTGTCTTCTCCCAGTCCGGTTCGTTCTGAGCCTCGTGCGGAGACGCCGCCCAAGAAGACTGGCCGTTTGGTCCAGGGACGGAAGCCTGCGTCACCTCAACGCTCGGAGTCCCCCGAGGCTATGATAATATCAGATGAGGATTCCGATTCTGGCGTAGAGGAATCAGCAGGGGATGGTCAAGTGGAGACAAGAGTTTTGAACTTCTTCAACAAGTGCAGTGTCCTGGACCTTGCTGACATCGCCGCGATCACCGAAGATGTTGCGAAACACGTCATATCCTTCCGACCGTTTTCATCCCTGGACCGTGCCCGTGCGGTTCCTCCCCCGGCGAAGGAAGAGACGAAGCCCAAAGGCGGCCGTGGCCGTAAAACGCCAAAGCCGATCGGCGACAAGATTGTCGACAAGTGCATTGACATGTGGGTTGGTTACGAGGCGGTGGATTCTTTAGTTGCAAAATGCGAAGCGCTCGGCAAGCCAGTCGCGGCGGAGATGAAGAAATGGGGCGTGGACATTTTCGGAAAGAAAGAGGGAGAGCTGGAGCTGGTATCCATCAATCCCAGAGACGCCAACTCTCAGTCTCATGATTCCGGGATAGGAACACCCGCAAGCCAGCGCTCGGATGAAGATAGTGACGGACCCGCGCCTGGTCCGCGGAAAAGTCGTTTCATCTCTCAGCCTGGAATCATGCGCGATGATCTGAAGATGAAAGACTATCAGATTGTGGGCATCAATTGGTTGTCCCTCTTGTTCGAGAACCAGTTGAGTTGTATCCTGGCCGACGACATGGGTCTTGGAAAGACCTGCCAGGTCATTGCCTTTTTGGCGCACTTGTTCGAGAAGGGAATCAAGGGACCACACCTCGTTGTTGTGCCCTCGTCTACCATTGAGAATTGGCTTAGAGAGTTTTCGAAGTTTTGTCCCACTCTCTCTGTCATGCCTTACTACGCTGGACAGGCAGAGCGGGCAGTCATCCGAGAGACGATTGAAGACAACCGAGATAGTATCAACGTCATCATCACTACTTACACGATCGCCAAGGGCAAGGTGGATGCCCACTTCCTCCGCAATATGGACTTTTGCGTCTGCGTCTACGATGAGGGTCACATGCTGAAGAGCAGCACATCCGTGCTCTACGAGAAGCTTATCAGAATCCCAGCTCGTTTCAGACTCCTCTTGACAGGTACGCCATTGCAGAACAACCTCCAGGAGCTAGCTTCATTGCTGGGCTTTATCCTTCCGAAAGTGTTCCAGGAACGCAAGGAGGAGCTTCAGTACATCTTCGCGAACAAAGCAAAGACCGTGGATGAATCGCATTCAGCTCTCCTTTCCGCGCAACGGATTGAACGCGCAAAGTCCATGCTGAAGCCTTTCGTCTTGCGACGCAAGAAGCACCAAGTCATCGACTTGCCTGCGAAAATCTCACATGTTGAGTACTGCGAAATGAACCTCGCACAGCGCGAAATTTATGAGCATGAGAAAGAGGAGGTCCGCAAGCTGTTAGCTGACCGAGCTGCTGGAAAGAAGACCGGCAACAAGTCCGCCAACATTTTGATGAAGCTCCGACAGGCTGCCATCCACCCCCTGCTATACAGGCGTCACTATGATAACTCCACTCTGAGTCGCATGGCTAAGGCTTGTCTCAAGGAGGAACAATGGTCTCTATCAAACCCGGATATCATCTACGAGGAACTCCAAGCATATAACGATTTTGAGTGCCACACCATGTGTGTGGACCACCCTCACTCTCTGGGCAGGTTCGCTCTCAAGAACAACGAATGGATGGACTCCGGTAAAGTGGACAAACTTTGCGACCTTTTGAAGCGGTTCAAGGAGAATGGCGACCGTGCTTTGGTCTTCTCTCAGTTCACACTAGTCATGGACATCCTCGAACACGTCCTCGAAAATCAACACATTGGCTTCGTTCGCCTGGATGGCAGGACAAACGTCGAAGACCGCCAGTCCATCCTGGACGCGTTCCACGAACGCACTGACATCCCCGTCTTCCTCCTTTCTACCAAAGCCGGCGGTGCAGGCATTAACTTAGCTTGCGCCAACAAAGTCATCATCTTCGACTCCAGCTTCAATCCCCAAGAGGACGTCCAGGCAGAGAACCGTGCCCACCGTGTCGGCCAAACCCGCGATGTGGAAGTCATTCGCCTCGTGACCAAGGGGACCATCGAAGAGCAGATCTACGCTCTCGGACAGACAAAGCTTGCGCTCGACCAAGCCGTGGCCGGTGAAGACGGCGCCGAGTCAAAGAAGGCCGAGGACGCAGGCATGAAAGTGGTCGAGGATATGGTTCTTGCGGACATGCAGCACGATAAATCTGATGACGCATAAACATGACACATTATCTTGTACTCTTGCTACTATGTGCTATATGGTAGCTTAAAACATGTACCGGCGCAATCTTGTTTCATTTTATACTCTGTTTTGTCTCATCCAACCTACAACTCTTTGTTCTCATCCCTTCGTCTAATACACGATTCACCAGCGATTGATAAATTCATGCTCTTTTGCATGTGACCGTTACCTTGTGTTTACAAGCGGTCTCTTCCACCTACTTACCTACACACCCTGCTACATTTTGCCTTACATTACTGCATCGCCACATAGAGTGGAAGAGTGGAAGTGCTTACATATATACCTACACGACGCAGAGAAGAAAGATGCCGGGGAACTTGTTTTGTTTTCATTAGTAGTTCACCGAACATCTCGGTTATGTGGCTGGACAATGAGGAAGTGGGGTTCTTCCATTGGGTCTTGGTTTCTCTTGTTTCATTTACACTGTTTGCTTATAGAAAAGGAGTTGGGGTTTGTCTTTATTACACTTCTCTGTGTCTCGGAGGTTGGTTTTAATACGCATACTATAAAGGTGGGCGTTATTAATATATCGATTAATTGATTGATCGATCATTTGGATGTGATTGTGCTGGCCTTGGTTTCGGCTTTCCGGGGTAGACTACCACTGTGTGTATTTGTCCGTCTCTGTCGAGGATCATACAAAGCGGATTACGCTGACAGCTAGACATAACTAATGGATTCGTATATATTCGTATAGTACTATGTATGTATAATCCTGGGAACACGAGAGCCTCTATCAACAACACACCGTGGGAATCTATTTAAAAATGCAGAGATTGGGGAACCGATATTCAACACCAGATAATGCGAGACAGTAGCTTGGTAACCAAGAAAAGATAAAGAAAGAAGAACAAGAATAGGACGCAAGGGACGCAGAGGCATCAGGTAGAGGGAGTAGAGTTAAGCTGTCAGCTCCTGCTTCTGAGGCGCAGCTTCGGGAGCCGGAACAGAGACATCGGCCTGGGTCTCCGCCTCAGCCTTGGTCTTCGTAGGAGCTGGGATGGAGTTCGTGCGAATGGGGCCGCCTGCGCTGACTGCGGGGGAGGTGGACTTGACGCGAGAAGCACCGCCAGCAGCCCGCGCGGATTCGTTGTTCTCCATGGCGTTCTGAACGGCCTTGCTGCGGGTGTGTTCGGACTGGAGGTCTTTGGTAGTGACTGACTTGTCGGTGAGGTTGAGGATGTCGTCCACTTGCATGGCGAGGGGAAGGAGATCCTCGAATCCGAGGGCGTGGCATGTATCGGCATAGGACCTGGCTGCCTTTGCAAGCTTGCCTTCCTGGAGCTTGCCGGGGACGAGGATGTTGAGGAGATATTTGGAGTTGCCGAAGCGGTTCTCAGACTCGAGGCAGAACTTGATATATTCGTGGACTACCTCCTTCCAGGGGAGAAGGCCGCCCTCGGCTTCGGTACGGAAGCAGGATGGGTTTGCTTCTGCGGCTGTGGCGATCATCGCGCCGTCGACGCCGAACTCTTTCATCAAGGCGTGTCCCTCATCTTTGGAGGTTACATCACCGTTTATAACGCATGCGACACCAGCCTCATGACAGATGTCGGCAATCATGCGCACCTGATCACGGATAGCGCGTTCACGCGGCCTCATGGGCGGCGTCCGACAATGCACTGTCAAGCCCGTAATGCCTGTCTTCACGAGCCGCGACACCAGAGCTCTCGTCTCCTCGGGATCTTTCAAAATGCGGATCTTGACCGAGATACCGATCTGGAATGGCGTCCCGACCTCCTTCACCAGGGCTTCCAGAATCGCAACCAACTTATCCGGTGTCTTGAGAAGCGCCGCACCCATACCACCGCTCGTGCTAAAGGGTTTCGGACATCCCGAGTTCACGTCGATACCGGCGACATCGCCCGCGACGAGTTTGGCTGCTTGGACGGCGATTTCAGGCGTCGCAGTGCCAATTTGATAAATGAGTTTGCCTTTCTCGCGGACGGGGTCGAGACGGTAGATCACGGATTCTTGGCCTGCCTTTTCGGTGCGGCCGCCGTTGGAGGGCATGCGGGTGAATTCGATGGTGCCGTTGCGGGGGTTCACACGGCGGATGGCGCCTGCCATAGCCCGGTCGATAGTTTCAGGGCCCCAAACTAGATCGGCGCCATACTTGAGGGCAATGAGGCGGGAGGGCAATTCGCCGGAGCGCACCATAGGGGCCAGGACTACTTTGCCACGGTAGTCGACCCCGTTGGCGGGGATGGGGACGCGGGGAGGAGTAGTTAGAGAGGCCATTGCGGTGCGGAGGAATCTTAGCATAGCATTGTCGAGTTAACGATTTTAGAGAGAGTGCAGTGTGGGAGAGTATCGAGCTGTGTGAGCGGTATGAGCCCGTAGAGATGTAGTAAAATGATATTATGGATCGAGTCGCATCCAAGATCGCTGATGGATCAAAGCCGGTGGAGGCGGAGACGAAAAATGCCGGGTCACGTGGAGATACTCGATAACTTTTTTCTTCCCTGAAGAGTCATGTGATCTATACTAGGGCACTTTTGTACGGAGTACTGGGAACATACAGGCGCTGGCTGGGAAGTTGTTCCTTATTGAAGGTCCATAAGCATCACTGTCAGCTCTACATAAGGTTGTAATCTACCAGGAAAGTGTAAAATGTCTATTATGCCATTATATATGGGTATCTCAGACAGTATAGGCAGATATCATGTGATCTACTCTTTACAAGGTTTGATCGAGCCTTTGCAGTGGAGATGACTGCAATATTACCCCTTCAGGAAATAGCCACAACTTCATTGCTGTCTCTGGCAGAGCAGACTGTGCTTTAGATTTAACCATGGTTCTGGTTGTTCGAGTGGCTTCTGATCACATGGCGATTTGCCTGATCGGTTCTGGTGAGGTTACAATGAATTGTTGCTTCGCATATCTCTCTCCGTCCGGGTACCTGCCAAGGCCGTGAACATGACAGGTATGCAACACTGAGAAATAATGGATGTCAATTGCAGAGACACATTTGACTGCCTTGACGGATGATACTACATGCAACACTGTACATGGCAGCAGTGGGGGAGCGTCGTCAACAGCATGGAAGAGTATAAACTGCACAACCTCAGTCATCATTTTTGGCTACAGCACCAGGCCATCGCAAGGTAATCCGGTTGGCTACTGGGTTCTTGGGACCACGAATGTCGCAATATCCCACCAGTCAGACGATTCAGGGACAGCACAAGCCAGAAGTGTGGAACGCCATCTGCGGTGGAGACCCATCCAGGACCAGTCATTCTGCGGCGAAAGTCTCAGAGGTGGTGGGTGTCCAGCCAGTATGGAGGGTTGGGAGCAGGTTGATTACTAGTTGGAACTAGAGTGGAAGAATCCGTATATTGTCTGGTCATGTGTGACTTGAAGAAGGGGTGTGTATAGCTTCCCCTTCGCTGTAACCATCAAGCACTTTGTTACTGAGGGACATATTTAGGGACGGGTTGAACAGATAATAGTCCAGAGAATTATTACATGAGGAAAAAGAAGAAAAAGGAATAGTAGAACCCGAGGCTGGGTCTTTTTTCCCGACCGATTTTCCTTCCCGACCGTGGCAGGTCCATTGATTCCCATCCCTTTTTATACCTCGCCGTGGACGACAAGCACGAATTCCCACTCTGTTCGGTTGTCAA